TAAAGTCCTCCAGCAAAAGACAAGTGATATGTACACATTTGGACATTCATTAGTAAAAGGGGTTTTTGTTTGTTTTTTTAGAACATCAGTGAAGACTTGAGAATAATTTAGTGTATGGACTTTCTAATGATTCAAAATGAAAAAAAAAAAAAATCATTAGGAGAAGATCAGAAATCTAAAAGAAGTTAATTGCAAACAGAAGACTACTGCCAAGCTTTTGACTAGCAGTTTATTACTAAACACCCTATAAATGACACAATTTTAATCACCATTTATTTAAATTTTTATAAAACCTTCCTTTTACAGGCATCAAGACACTTACCCTGTTTTGCTCTGTATGTTTTCACCAAAAAAAAAAATTTTTTTTTAAAGTTACTAAACCAACTCTCTTTCCGTGTCCAGAAATGTCACCAATAACGGGGCCAGCTTTGGGCTTTATTTCTTGTCCTAGAAGACTTTATTTGGCAGAGAATAACAAAAGAAATTGACTGGGTAAGCCTAAAGTCATCAAAAAGCAAAATAAATAAGAGACACTGTGGTCTGATGGAAGTTCTGATTTTGAACTATTTAATTAAGCTTCAAAACAAAAAAGAGCAGTGAGCCTTTCCCCTTGAAAAGGGAGAAATAGTAGAATCACTTTTGTGTTTACACTGAACCAGAAGCACTGAGGACCCTCTATAAACATTAAATAATGATCATATCATATCAAAAATGAAAATCCCTTATTTTTGAATTGGATCCCATGCGCTCACACACACAAAGAATGCCATTTAAATGAGATGATCAGAGGACTTTCTAAACGTTCTCATTGGTTCTCACCTTTGTTTGAAGGGCTAAGTACCTTCATCTCCATTTCAGTTAAAAGGTAAACAGAAAGGTTAAACAGATTTTATAGTTATACCAAAAGTCTGAAAAAAGTTTGTTATTCCTTGAGCACTTAAAAGCTTTTCTTTGAAGAATTAAGCAACCAATATAATTATTTTTAGGAGGGTTTTTCACAGCCATACAGCATCTTATCTGTACATCATAGTCACAAATAACTGTGTTAAATAAATTTTAAAAAAATCAGTGTGGTTTCCTGAGCCCTTTCTATGTTGTGTGCCTACTACCCATGTGGCTGGAGATTTGAAATGCTATTTAAGTCTCATTTTCCTTCAGAAGCTAACCTCTATGGAATAAAATGCTGTTAGGGAAAAAAAAAAAAATCCTATTCTGTCATTTGACTTTAACTTATGATAAATTAGCTTCAACTAGTTTCTTAGAAAATTGCCCAAGAAATGGCTACAGAAAATTAAATACCAAGACTTCAAAGAGGCAAACACACAGCCTTCAAATTCCGACCTCTGAGAATAATCCTCCCTTTCTCACGCTTTGGAGAAATGCAAGTTAAAGAAATCATACTAGGGCATGGTCTTATACCATCTTTCAAATGACTTTTCTATCAATCTTCTTTTCAAAGGGTAATAAAGTGATTATTTCTAGGTGGTTTCTGGGAAGATATCTCATTTCAATAGTCACCAGTGAAGATGGACTATAGTCTGGCATTACCACTGATGATAATAAAGACAAGAGCTGGATGAGAATAGGCATGGTGTAGGCTGTTAAAGCATTTCCAGGAAAATTACAGAGAGAGATCAAAAGAATTGTGCTGGATCTTAAGGAATGGGTAGTCAGTTCCTTCTAGATTAAAAATGCAAATCTGATTTATTACCTAATGCGTGAAATCCACTATCATTTGAAGGGTTTATTATTTCAATCAATATTTCTTGAAAGCTTATGATGAGTCATGCTATGCGCTAGAAACTGGGGTCTAGTGGAGACGACATGACAAGGGGCATGCATCTGGGACATGACTTCTAGAACCAGAGTGGTCTATCCCTTTTAAAACAACAACAGTAACAAACCATAACAAACTAATTAAAAAAAAAAAAAAAGGCATCAAAAAAGGGTTATTGGGAAGTCTTAGTCACCAGAATTTGTTTTTCAAAGTCAAAGGAAAGCATAACAGGATGAGAAATGCCCAAACCTAAGTCTGAGTTTATTTCCTAGTGCCTTGAGAAACTTTATGATGGCAGGGAATTATCTCAAGTTACCCAGGAATGCACCCACCGAATTACTGTCAAGTTAACTCCTATTCATAGCAACTGCATGTGTGCTACAGTAGAACTCTGCTCCTTATAGTTTTCAATGACTGAGTTTTCAGAAACAGATCACCAGGACTTTCTTCTGAGGTACTTCTGGGGGCTCGAAAACTGCCAGACTTTCAGTTAACAGCTCAAAGCAGTATACATCTGATGGAAAGAAGCTCCCATGCATCAAATGCCTTCAGGAGATAGCAACTGGCACCTGGCTGCCTCTCTGGTACCAGAATCAGGCCCCCCACCTTTGGTGGTCGTATAAGGGTTATGTAGTCCATTTTCCCTCAGGAGTTCCTAAAACCAGCCCTGGCTATCGCTTCTTATTTGCACTAATTTCTCTTATCCAAGTCTGAATCTATTGCCCACTGACAGACAAAGTGAGGAGACACATTTTTGGATTAGACATTTTCTCAAAAGTTAATTTTTATAGCACTAACTAGAAATACAAGCAGCTCTGGTAGCGTAGTGGTTAAAAATCAGGCTGTGAACCTTAAGGTCAGCAGTTCAAAACTACCAGCTGTTCTGCAAGACAAATATGAGGTTTTCTGCTCCCATAAAGATTTACAGCCTCAGAAACCCTATAGAGGATCGCTATGAGTTGGAACCAGTGCCACAGCACATAACCACCACCAACAACAACTAGAAATACAAACTCGGAACAGAAAACAAACAATCAAAGACCTATGAGCTATTCCATGGTTTTGAGAGCAAAGAAAGGCCATGTTCATCGCATCATCATCACAGTAAAGCAAAGACACTTAATGAAGCTCTGTTGAATATAATGGAATGAGCGCTTAAAACTTTTGTATGTGTGACTCACTCAATGTCAAGACTGTCAGGTAGGTATTTAAAGACAAACAATCCCGCAGTGTTTCTCTCTTTTAAATGTTGTTCAGGCAATTTTTTTCCATAAAAGAAAGAAAAATAAGAGGAAGAAAAACAAAAGCACAATACAAAACAATTGAATTCAAATGTATTTGCTTTCAAGTTACATTCCAGGTAACAAATATTTGACCAATGAATGAATGCCTTTAATCTGGCCCCTGGACAGGCAGACTCTGCCTCTGTCCTTAGCTGAACACAGCAATTAAGAACATACCATTAGATTTCTTAGTGATTCACAGAATAGGATATGGGAACTAAAGCCCTAAAAAGGAATTAACATTTTATTTTCATGACCCATCAAGAAATTGCCCAAATTTTCACCTTCTCCCTACCTCCAAGACCAAATCAGAAGAGGTATAAATTAGCTCTTGTGCAACTCAAACTTTCAATATAATACACAATAATCATCAGCAAACTAAGTCTATGACTTCATATTTCCCTCTGCCTGGGAAACATTTTCCCTGAAGTAAACCTCAGAATTCAGGAGTGAAGATTTTTAAAGCAGGCTTAGGAGCAAGCCAGCTAAAGTAAGGGTGAAAGATACAGGGAAGATGAAAATTCTGAAACCCACAGATTTGTTGCTGATAGATTAAAAGGTTTTATAATATGGGAAGGAGACGCAAAAGGGCTGGGGTGGGGGACTTGGGTAAGGATTCTCCAGCCCTCCTCCTCTTCTTTGTTTGTATTCTCTGAGGTAGGGCAACCCAGTGTGCACATGGAGCAACCAGCCCCTCAAACATGCAGCTTCTAGAGTCCTTCACTCCTGTCCTCAGAAAACAATTACCTGTTCTCAGGACATCCTTAAAATTATAAACAGCACTCTACATACACCAGCCAATGAAATGGCACTAGAACAAAGCAAACACCTTTGAAACATGTTTTCTTTCAGAAACCACATCTTTCTCCATAGGCCTGATACAGAGTCATTTACCCCAGGATTTAGACACAGCTTCAGAAGAGGAAGTGGGGTTTTTGAGCTTGACTTAGTCAACTCTCTAACCAATAGTAGCCCTGAGTTTAAAAGAAGTGAAAATATTTCTTAATAACTTCCAATCTTACATATGTTTGCTCTCTTATTAAAAATAAAAAAAGCATTTTTTAAAAAGATACAAAGGAAGATTTCACTCTTCCTTTCTCTCAGAGAAACCTGAAATGCCCAGGCATCATATGAGTCACATCTAGATTTCATATGCAATCCATCTAGATTTCAACAAGAGACTTACTTTTTACTGGTTAGTTTGTGCAGGAAGACTGTGCTATAATCTATACAAAAACATTCTTGTTCCATTTTTTATCCCCTTGTAGCTATTGCCAAAGACCTGTCCTACTGGGAAGGAGAGACAAAAAGCCAAGTAACTATTTTTATGTACATATATAGATATAGATATATCAGTACAACATGTAGGTGAGGTGATGAATAGCAGTGGGGTGGAGGATCCACACAGAGAGTGAGAAAATACATTCAGTTCTTCTCACTGGTTCTTTAGTGTCCAGCATTCTGTTCCAAGCGCTCCAAACAACCACCAAAGGGTTCTGAATAAGTAATATTCCCAGTTGGCTCATCCATATGTGTTCATGTGGAATGTGAGGATTAAGAACACATGCCAAGTGCCCCTTAAGAGAAGTCAATATTAAGGAGAAACCATTTATCATATCCCTGTGAGGCCTTTGGCAATGGGAGATGTGAGGCTCAGAAGGTGCATCCCAAGGAGGCCCATTGTGGAAGGCTGTTCTGGCAGAAGATCTGCCATAATCAATGCTCTGTCGTCATATAGTGCAGAGGAGGGAGGGCAACGGCTTGCATCTTTTTTTTTTTTTAAATGTCATCAAGTTGACTCCAGCTCCATGTGTCTCAGAGTAGAATTGTGCTCCATAGTGTTGCCAATGACTCATATTCTAGAGTAGGTCATCATACCGTTCTTCTGAGGTGCCTCTGTGGGGATGTATACCACCAACCTTTCTCCGTACACCTCCCTTTTACAATCGTGTGATGTCTTCCAAGGGATCACTGCTCATTTCCCTTGCTGGAACCCCTTCCATTGGTTCTAGTTTGGTCTCAAGTCCAAAGGTGGGATTGATCCTTCCAGGGCTATAGTCATTTCTTTTTAAATCTGCAAGGCAGACAATTTAGACAGCTACAAGGGGTGTTCTAGAACATAATGTTCACATGCATAGAATAGATGCTAGGATTTGCCAAGAGTTCACATGGACTCTGCTTCCCCTGGCCATGGAAATGTGGAACTCACACTAAACCATGTCCAGTGAAAAGGCCTTCTCCCAGAGCGGAGAACGGGACCCTACCCAGAAAAGCAGTGATGCCTGAGATGGAGGCAGAGATGATGATGTGGAGAGATGGAGCAGCTGGGGATTTTAGACGCAGAGAGGGAGAGGGGCTGTGTGCTGACGACTGGGGGGCATGTTTCTAGTGTATACCCTTTGGTTGGTTGATGATGCATGGAGGGGATTGTAACCATGGCAATGAAACAATATACGATAGGATGAATGTAAAACTAATGTTCTCCCATGTAAACTATCACATAATTCATAATAAAACATAAAAAAAGAAAAGAAAAGAAAAGGCCTTCTCCCATATCCATGTGTAATTCTAACTCTGTAGCGTAGTAGTTACGAATCGGGCTGCAAACCTTAAGGTCAGCGGTTCGAAACTACCAGCTGCTCCACGGGAGAAAGATGAGGCTTTCTACTCCCGTAAAGATTTACACCCTCGGAAACTCTATACAGGGCCCCTATGGGTCGGAACCGACTCGACGGCACATAACAACAACAACAATACTCTTTTAGGCATGTGCTCACTGTGTCAGGGGATGAAAGATTCTGTTCTTTGAAAACTTGACTGAAGTTAAGTGAGGGCAAATAGCAAAAGACATTTTGATAACTGAATGGCAAGAAGGCCCCAGGGTGTCCGTCAAAACGTAGGCTTTAGATGTCAAGGTCAGTTCTCTATACAAATCTGTATGAAAGGCAATCAAAAAGTATTGCTACAAACTCACTGACATCTCTACTAAATAAAAATATCACAGGTCTTTGGCATAACATAATCTACAAAGACAGTATTTTACATCCTACTATTGTGAGTAGCGACTGAGATTCTTAAAAGCTCTTGAGCAGTCACCGATGGTGCAACTACTGGTCTCTCTCAGTGCAAAGGAAAGAAGAATGAGGAAAAACTGAAGATGCTTGGGATCAATTAGCCCCAGTGAACTCATGGGACATGTGAACACCCACAACCCTGAGACCAGAAGAACTCAATGGTGCCGGACTATCATTACCAACTGTTCTGAAATTGATTGTGTTAGAAGATCCTAGATAGAGTGGAGGAAAATGTGGAACAAAATTCGGCATTACAAAAAACAAAAGATCAGGCTTACTGGATATAAAAAGACTGGAGGAAACTCAGACTCCTGCCCCCAGTCCCTTCAGGCCTAGACCTGAACTCACCCTTGTAGGCTCAATTTTCAGCAGTAGATAGTTATACATGGGGCACCACACTAGTGAGGCATGCACAACATGGAATTGTCAATCATTCAAGGTCAAAAGGGTAGCATTTGTCTAAGGCGAAAATTCAGACGGTAGAATGGAAACAAGAATCACAGGGAGGAAGTGGGATGTTGTTAAGTGCTTTTGAGTCGGTTCCGACTCATAGCGACCCTGAATAGGATTTCTGAGAAATGGCTAGTGAGTTTGAACCGCCAACTTTGTGGTTCAAACCAACTTTGCAGTCCATTGCTTATCCTACAGTGCCACACCAGTACTGCTAATGTTAAATGGAGGGAGTTCTAATCAGTGAAATAAAATGAAATGTGATTTATTTAATGTAAAACTGATGATCTACTCTGTAAAACCTTCACCAGGTTCATAATAAAAAGTTTAATGTATATATGGTGGTGGTGACTATGTGCTGTGGAGTTGGTTCCGACTCATAGCGACCCTGTACAGGGTTTCTGAGGCTGTATATCTTTACGGGACAGAAAGCCTCATCTTTCTCCCGCAGAACAGCTGGTAGTTTCCAACTGCTGACCTTAAGGTTCGCAGGCCGATTAGCAACTACTACACTACCAGAGCTCTTTAATATATATATGTATATGCATATGTATATGTGGGACAGCACTACTGCAAAGCTTCAATGGTTTGGAAAGATGTCCATTTAAGTTATGTTAAAAATTTGATGTTAGCCCTAACCTCAAAATCATTTTTCTCCATGGCACAAAATTATCAGTTTTTTGGATGGCACCCTAATTCCTTTGTTGTTGTTAATAAGTGCCATCAAATCAGTTCCGACTCATAGAGATCCTACATTGAGTTTCTAAGGAGCAGCTACTGGGTTTGAACCGCTGACCTTGTGATTCACCTTGCAGTGCCGATCCTATAGCACCACACCAGAATTCCAAATCTTTATAGAAGCAGAATGCCTCCTCTTTCTTCCACTGAGTGACTGGTAGATTCGACTGCTGACCTTGTGGTTAGCAGCCCAGTTCGTAACCCACTACATTACCAGGGCTCCTTGAAAAGTCTGTTACTGAGAGAACTTGTCTGCAGCCATCTGATCACAGAGATATGTTTCAAAAGATTTTCTGGAATAATTCCATACATGTATGAACTGGAACACTAGTAGCAATATTGTTGTTGATGTTAAGTGCTGTCGTGTCAGTTCTGACTCATAGCAACCCTGTATAGGGTTTCTAAGTTGTGGCTGGTGGGTGTGAACGGCCAACCTTGCAATTCAAACAGACCTTGCAGTCCAATGTTTATTCTACAACTCTACACCAAGATTTCCTAGTAGCAATGTTGTTGTTGTTGTTAAGTGCCGTTGAGTCGATTCTGACCCATAGCGACCCTGTATAGGGTTTCTGAGGAGCAGCTGGTGAGCTTGAACCACCGACCTTGATGTTCAAATGACTTTGCAGTCTGACGTATTAGCCCACTTCGCCACACCAGGACTCTCTAGTAGCAATACTAGGCTCTAAATTTTTAAGTAATTTTTTATGATGTGCTGATTAAACTTTCTAACTTTAATCAAGTATTCCTTTTATATTTGTTTGATGTGGACTGGGTTTTACTAATAAGCTGTTGGTTAATGCGCTGGACTGCAAAGTTCGCTTGAACCGGGAGGCCTGCGGTTCAAGCTCACCAGCTGCTTCTAGGAAACCCTATACAGGGTCGCTATGGGTTGGAATCCGACTCAACGGCACTTCACAACAACATCAACAACTGGATTTTCTATATATATATTGCTTCATTCAATGCTCACATCATTTTCATAAGATATTTGTTATTATTCCTGATTTACAGATGAGGAAACAAGGCTTACGGGCAGAGAGTTGACAGGAGAGCACTGTATGCCCACAACCTGTATGGCTCTGGAGTCTACGTTCTTAAAAAAAAAAAAAAAAAAGTGAGATATAATCGAATAAAAAAAGAAAATCGCTCTTTATCCTCTTTTCCAGACAAAACTTTTAATTCAGATTACCAAATGTCTGAGTAATAAAGATGTTTCTGATTCCTACTTAAATGTGCTAACTAACATTTTGGAAGGAAATTTAGAATAAGTCTAGAGGTGAAAGAATTATTGAATTTTGAATTACTCATTCAAACCCACCAGCGTAGATTAAATGATTTCAACCTTAATCATAGAGAATTGCTCATGGGTTCAAAGGTTGAAAGCAGTGAGTTAGATATCAAACCTCCCTTTCTCCTGGGTAAGCCCTGGGTCTTTTAGAATGAGAGGCTGTCTGGTCTAGAGCTCACTGAATCAGACCTGGGAAGAGACCAGTTCCTGAGGACTCGCAGCTGGCTGGCTACACTCCAGCCAGCAAGTCATGGAGAGATTTCTCAGCTCCTGCCTCCTAAAAGGTCCCCTGGAAGTCTGATCCCCCTCAGCTCAGTCCAGCCCCTTTCTGGACCCCTTTTACCAGAGCATTAGGCCAAATAGGTAGCTCTGCCCACCAGCCAATATGCTATGGATAGATCTCTTTGCTCAGGTCTGGCACATAGCTTAATGGCAGCGAATCCTGGAGAGATATAAATTGAGGATTTTGGCCATCCCTCTTTGCTAGAATCTGAGCACCCTATATACCCACCACCCTTACTATGCACCCCTGGTTCACTCTACTTCTACTGAAACTGAAGGCCAGCCTTTTGCTAAGTCTTGTCCTTCTCCCAAAACCAACCTTTTCCTAGATGCTGCCCACAAGAGGGCCTCCAACCTCTAATTCCAACAAGATTAGAAATGTGACCTTCTTTCCTGTAAATTTACCCCTGCTCTATCCCCAGGTTAGATCAACAATGGATGGTGATCTTTTACTAATTTCCACGTCAGATCCTAATGGTTTAATTTAAAATGGGAATGGTTGTTCAGCTTAAAATATTTGAAATTCCATTCTAAGAGCAAGCTTGGGATGGACTAAGAAAAAGAGGGAAAGAGGGGCAGAAAACACCCCTCTGAAACTCCCCCACAAATAAATAAAACAAAGGATTACAGAGCAGCCAAAGCAGGTCTACCAGCTCTGGGGCAGAGTAGAGATATTTAGCTGCTTACTTTTCTGTTAGGTATCAATTCTGGTTTCAGAGAGAATGTGCCATATATATCAAATCAACAAAAAACGAATGCAATGTGTGTTTTAAGTGGCGTGTTTTGTACTGAAAAACAGCTGCTTTGATTGACTGCTGCTATTTCCCATTCTCCCCCCTCCTCCATGTCTAATGGGTCAAGAAGAACATAGAAACACAGGGGCACCATGTTAAGCTATCATGGCTTGCGCATGATGCAGAGTGGGCAGGACCCAAAGGGGCGGGGCAGAGACAAGGTGCCTTGGTCCAGTTTTACCCCACTTTAAGTAGATGGAACTTTTCCCTTGGAGTGACAGTGACAAGTATCAGGCCCAATGTTGTTTTATCACATTTTAGCAGAACCTGAAGTTAATCCCTGCCCTTTTAATCTCTTTAGAGACTTGGAAATTTCGCAGTCAGAAAGCCAGGGCTCCGACTTCGAATGAGATAAAAATGTGATTAAGATTTTTCGACTCCATCCCAGTTTACAATATATGTTATTCTATGGGAGAGTTACTTAGAGGAAAATAGAATTGTCTGAGGCATACCCGGCAGTTTGAGCTTCCGGCAGCAGGAGTTGCAGCGATGTTTTGCAATGAAGTTTCTAATTGCATCTTCTCCTAAATTGGCTGGTCCAAACACCATTCCTCTTGATCTAGAGGAAATATCAGAATATCAATTAGATCACAGGGAAGAAAAAGAGCTCAACTAGGATTCTCTAAGATACCGAACAGTCTCCCATAGTAACTCAGTAAACTTGAAGGAGCCAACAAAGAACAGAGCACTTTGGGGAAGCAGCAATGTTAGGTTTGCAAATTTAAAATTCAAATGCACTTAAATCTTTGTACCCAACTCCAAGACCTACTGTGAAACTCATTTCAACACTAATCTGATAGAAGAGTGCAATTTCTATGTACCACATTAAAACAAAATACAGAAAGGCCCTTTTTAATGCATATGGGGTGAGAGAATGACATTCATTACCAAATGTTCTACTAGAATACAGAGAAATAAGACACAAAAGGAAATAAATTTGCTACAGGGATGCATCTTTTTTAAAGATTCATATGCATTGATTCAAACCCAGATACTTTTGTAACAATAACTCATGTTCTAAAAAACAAATACCTCACAAAACTTTAGATTCAGTATTCAAGTCTCTCCTAATCGCATCCTTCTACCATACATGCTGTAGTCCTCACTGTGATTGTTCATGGAAAGATTAAGACCACTAATAGACAACTTGTTTGTGGAAGTAAACTACATATATTAAAAGTAGGTAACCAAATTACAAACAGAATCTGTGTGTAGTAGGTACACTTGAAATACTCTATAATTATATAAACTAGATCCTTAGCAGATTCTAGGACCAATATTCAGCCATAATCACTTCATGCACAAGCATTATTCGTTAGGCTTTCATTGCACGGAATAGAGCAAGTACCCCAGAAACACTTCCAAAGAAACTTTATGAAAACTAATATTTTATTTTAATGACATGCACAGTGGAAACAGCACATTTTAAAATCTGAACTCAATTACTGCTTTTAAATACCAAGTCTTAAGAAAAAAGAAAAGCAAACCATCACAAAAGGAAACAATAAACTTCGCTTCTAAGGAGTGCGGTTTTTCAAAAGGGACGTGGTGTAAAAACGGATTTTTTTCCATCTGAGGATTGAAACATTTATCTCAATTTCCACTTCCTGTTGGCAGAATAACAGTAGCTGCTCTGAAGATGTGCCAAGTTCAGAATGAAGGCTGATGTCAGTTTGATCTCAGATTGCCTCTCTCTTTGAGGAGAGTAGGTAGGGGAAATCTCTTGGGAAGACAATGTGAACAGACACCCAGGATTAACTTTACTGGTCACTCAATTGCTTTTATAAAGCACAACTCTGGTGCTATTTACCCAGCCACATCAACGATCTCTTGGTAACTCTTCCTCTCTTTCAGCTCATCTGGGAAGGAGTCACGGTAGAAAGGTGAAATTGAACGTGGCAAAGTAGGCTCTCTTGGTGTTAGTATCAGAACTCCATGACGCCAACAAAGTGCAAGATGAAGATGTCAGTCATTGAAACTGAAGACATCCTCCTTATATTCTCTCCAGCATGACCCCACTGGATATTTCACCCTTTTAGATCCCATACCTATCATTTCTGTCATCAAAGTAAAGCATGAAAACTCTCAACTGCGAGGCATAGCATTATTCTCAAAAGAGAAAAAGGATCAAATTACAAGCAGAATCTGTATGTATCAGACACACATGAGATACTCTATAATGGACTTCTTGTTGTGGTGCTATAGGATCAACATTGGACTTCGAACCACAAGGTCGGCAGTTCAAACCCACTAGCTGCTTCTTGGGAACCCTGTACAAGGTCACTTTGAGTCAGAACTGACTCAACAGCACTTAACAACAACAAAAGACAATTATAATAGAACCTTAGCCGATTCTAGGATCGATATTTAGTCATCAATATCAATATGCTAAATCATTGCCCACTCTCAGCTTAGTGAAAATTAAGATGAGAACATCGAAATGACTATGAAATGTGTATCTCAGGGGTCCAATCTCTTTCTGTGCAGAGGTAAGTGGAAAGAGGGTTGCAGAAACATTTATTTGCATGTACACTCTACAGCCTGCCTAGAGACTTGCAGTCTCAGACAGCTAAATTTTAGAAAGAGACATCTAGCTGATGTCCAGGGCTTTCACAGGAAAATCAGGTGGTTTTTCTGATCCACATGCCAGGAAACACTAATCAGTGCCATCTTTACATAGATTAACAGGAGTCTTGGTGGCACAGCAGTGGGTAAGCAGTCAGCTGCTAACTGAAAGGTAGGTGGTTCAAACCCATCAGCTGCTCTGTAAAACCGCGACAAGGCTGTCTGCTTCTTTAGAGACTGCAGCTTTGGAAACTCTTTGGGAGCTGTTCTATTCTGCTCTTTAGGGTCACTGTGAGTCAAAATCACATCAATAGCAAAGGATTTGGGATTTTTCATTTTGTATAGAGATTTACTAAGGAACAGCATCACTTTGACTTATCAAATACCCAAAACAATCAAAGAGCTGGGTTAAAACATATCATCCCAAACTACCAAACACCAAAGCAGCCTCAACTCAGGCTCTATAACCTGGGAAATGAAGTCCAGTGTCCTGACAGGATTTGACAGGGAAGGCAGCAAGGTGTGGGAAGTTGAGACAATTGGTATAAGAGACAATATGAAAATTTATACAACAAAAGCATCTTATCCTTTAATGAAAAATTATTAACCCCCCTTCTCCTCATAGTGTGGTGCTGTAGGATAAGTAATGGACTGGTAACCACAAGGTTGGCAGTTCAAACCCACCAGTAGCCCTTGAAAACCCTATACAGGGTTGTTGTGAGTAGGAAATGAGTCAAGGGCACACTACAACAACCACCATCTCCTCATAGACAAGATGCAGTCTTCACTGAGCCTTTCTCATTAGTGAACGAGGACTGAAAACATTTACCTCCTAGCTTGCTAAAATGAGTAAGTATATGGGAAAGCACTCGCTTCAATCAGCGCTTCTCAAATTTTAATTTACGTCTAATCACTGGAGGATCTCATGAAAAAAATAGACTCAGATTCAATTAAGTTTAGGGAAGGCCTTGAGAATCTGCATTTTTAACCACCTCCCAGATGCTGCTGGTATGTCAAAGACACTGTAGGCAGCAACAGTCTAACACTTCGAAGGCATGATCAAAATGTGAGCCACCTTAAAGCCCATTGATGCTAAGTGACATCAAGTTGGCTCTAGTCATAGTGACCTTGTTTCCAAGGAGCGTCTGGTGGATTTGAACTGCCGATCTTGCAGTTATCAATTCAATGCTTATCTTACAAAGCCATATCAGGACTCCATTAAACAAGTTAGGTGTAATTTCCCACTATCTTGACATTTAACAGTACTTCTACCTATCATCACCCTGAAGAGCAACACCATCCAAAACTGGATGACAAGTCAGGTTGACCACAATGATACCATCCTATCCCATCCCAGAGGTCCTACTCTCCCATCATAAAAAATAAAGCTCGCCATAAGACAGAGGTTCCCAACCCTGGTTTTCCATGAGAATTACATGGGAAACTGAAAAAATATAGAGATATCAGGGTCCTATTTTCAGAGATTCAATTTTATGACTGTTCTGAGCTTTTTTTTTTTTTTTAAGTTCCCTCCCTGTTGTTGTTGTTAGGTGCCATCGAGTCACTACTGACTCAAAGCAACCCTATGTACAACAGAACGAAACACTGCCCAGTCCTGGGCCAACCTCACAATTGTTGACATGCTTGAGCCCATTGATGCTGCCACTTTCCCAATCCACCTCACTGGGAGGTCTTCCTCTTTTTCTCCTTCTCCAGAGACTTTTTATCCTTCTCCAGAGACTGGTCCCTCCTGACAATATGTCCAAAGTATGAGAGATGAAGTTTGGCCATCCTAGCCTCCAAGGAGCACTCTGGCTGCATGTCTTCCAACACAGATCTGTTGGTTCTTTTGGCAGTCCATGGTATTTTCAATATTCTCCTCCAACACCATGACTCAAAACCATCAATTCTTCCATAGTCTTCCTTATTCACTGTCCAGCTTTCGCATGCATATGAGGTTATTGAAAATACCATGGCTTGGGTCAGGCGCACCTTAGTCTTCAAGCTGACACCTTTGCTCTTCAACACTTTAAAAAGATCTTGTGCAGCAGATTTGCCTAATGTCATTTGATTTCTTGACTGCTGCTTCCATGAGTGTTGATAGTTGATCCAAGAAGAATGAAGTCCTTGCCAACTTCAATCTTTTCTCCATTAATAATATTGTTTATTGGTCCAGTGGTGAGGATTTTTATTTTCTTTACATTGAGATGCAATCCATACCAAAGGCTGTGCTCTTTGATCTTCATCAGTAAATATTTTAAGTCCTCTTCACTTGCAGCAAGCAAGATTGTATCATCTGCATATCGCAGGTTGTTAATGAGTCTTCCTCCAATCCTGATGCTATGTTTCTTTTCATATAACCCAGCTTCTGGGATCATTTGCTTGGCATACAGGTTGAATAAGTATGGTGAAAGAATACAACCCTGTCACACACTTTTCTTAATTTTAAACCATTCAGTGTTCCCATGTTCTGTTCAAACAACTGCCTGTTGATCCATGTACAGATTCCTCATGAGCACAATTAAGTGTTCAGGAATACTCATACTTTGCAATGTTGTCCATAGCTTGTCATGATCCACACAATCAAAAGCTTTTGCGTAGTCAATAAAGCACAGGTAAACATCTGTTCCCTTCCTAGGAGACCTTAATAGAAACTGAGATCAACTACCTGATAGAATGCAATGAAATACTCAGCTGTCAAGTGGCCTAATAAAATATTCTTAAGAATTCTAAAAGATAGAAATAGTCAAGTCCTATTAAATTATATCTGCCAGGGTTAAATTTAATAAGTGGCTACCAGTGTACAAATAAATCTGGTTATATATATAATTTTTCACTGAAAAGTTATAAAGTTCTTAGAGTACAAGATTCCTACTACAAACCGTTGAGCACATGGGGCTATTGAAGAAAAATATTTTTATCTAGTAACATTTTAGTAGACCTAAAATGAAAAATAATAAAACCTTTATGTGTATCCTCAGGGTTACAACATGGTCTCCATAGTCAAATATCATTAGAATCGGAAGCATTCTGAGCAATACGACAGACCTTTATCTTCTAAACCTTACCTAGTACAACTAAACATTTAAAGCACTTTTTGAAGGACCACTTTGTTTAAAAGTCTACTGGTGTGGCACTGTAGGATCAGCACTGGACTGTGAACCACAAGGTCGGCAGTTCAAACCCACCATTTGCTCCTCAGAAACTCTATGAGTTGGAATCGACTCGACAGCACTTGAAAACAACAACAACAATATTTAAATAATACACTGAAAGGACAGATAATTAAAGCAGTGAATATTTATAGTACAAGTCTCTGTGTGAGGGAAAGTAAAAATGTCAGATTTTAATACGGGGGGAGCTTTAAAGAGTTCATGGGAAAATAATATTCTCTTTTCATTCCATTTTCTGTGAGCTTTTGAAACCTCCTCACATATAGGGATTACATAGTTTAACTTATTTCTTCTACAGTCCATATGTTAAGTATAGACACTAGAAGACAGCTAAGAAGTAAAGATTTTGTATGTTAACAGTTTTCATAGTGTGGTCTCCAGCATCAACAGCATCGGCACTATCCATGAAGTTGTTAGAAATACACATCACCGGGTCTTACTCCAAATCAACTGAATTAGAAACTCTGGGAGTAGGTCCCAAAAATCTGTTTTAACCAGCTCTCCTGGTGATCCTAATGCACATTCATGTTTGAGACTACTGCTGTCTGTGGGTGGTGCAAACAGTGCTCAGCTGCTAACCAAAAGATGAGAAGTTCAAGTCTACCAGGAAATGCCTCCCTCCTCTTCTGAAAAAATCTGCCATGGAAAGCCTTGTGGGGCACAATTCTACTCTGGAATCAACTCAACAGCAACTGGTTGGTTTTGATTTTTGTTGTTATCTTTGTTCTGTTTGCCGTATGTCCAGTCCTTAATCAACACCAACCACCACTTTGTTCTATTTGAACAGAAGACTACAACCTCAGATTTTTTTATTTGCCATAACTTCCCAAAAACTTGGTTATGGGATAAAATGTCTATGGGAATTGAAACAACATTCACATCACTCATCCCTCTATAGAATTTAAACTTCAGCTCTAAATTAAGTCAGACTAATTGATGCTTCAATTTTCATCTATGTCGTTTTGACCTCATATACATTTGCTGCTGCTGAATAGCACATTTTAGATCCTGGATTTTCATTTTATAGGCATGTGGTGAACAATACAGTCCAAGAGATAATGCAATGCTCTACTGTGAGGATGACAAAGGAAATGGTACTTCCCTATGATAATGTTTCAATGCCATGAAGCCAGTAGATGCTGAATTCACCTGTATGTCTCCTTTCTTTAGTTCACTAAAAATCTCAGAGTCAAATCAGCAACATAATGCTGACTACAGCATTGTTGTTGCTACTGTTAACTGCTGTCCAGTTGATTCCAACTCATAGTGACCCTGTTGTACAACAGAACAAAACACTATCTGGTCCTGGGCTTTGCTAACAATTACTGGCATGCTTGAACCCATTGTTTCAGCCACTGTGTCAATCCATCTCTTTGGGGTCTTCCTCTTTTTTCAATCTTCTAAGTAGCAAGACCTTAAATTAACTTACCGTTTGTCTTCAGGTTTTATAACAGATGGATCTGTCAAATTTTCTCCAACACCTCAAAAGAAGAAGAAGGAAAAAACTCATTTAGCAAATGGGAATTTCATTCTTTCAGAAACTCAAGAAAGCAATCATCGAATTTTAATTTTGTTTTTAAACTTAGACTCACTCTGTAGTACACTAAGTATCATATGGATTACATGACTACAAAAACCTTCCAAAAATATGTGAAAATGAATGAGCTAAGTAACTAATTCCCGCAGCCCCCTCTCGTCTGCTATAATAAACTCCTATGCCATGAATGAATGTTTTAGTAGTGTGTTCACAATTAGTAATAATGGTAGATGTCATTCATTAACTACTCGTATATATTGTTGCTGTTGGTAACGTGCTGTCAAGGCAGTTCTGACTCATATTGACCTTGTATAGGGTTTCTGGTGGGTTTGAACTGTTGATTTTGTGGTTTGCAGTCCAATGTTAATCCTATAGAACCACACCAGAAGTCCTTGTATATACTAGACATTTTCATTTTATTTACTTTAATCCTCAGCCATCACAAAAGGCAAGTATTAACATCCTCATATCATTGATGAATCCTGGTGTGGTGCTGTGGGCTAATGCATCAGACTGCAAAGTCATTTGAACTGCAAGGTCGGTGGTTGAAGCTCACCAGCTGCTCCTTGGAAACCCTATACAGGGTCTCTATGTGTTGGAAATGATTCGACAGCACTTCCCAACAACAACAAATCATTGATGAGAACATTGATGTTCAAAGCTATGAAGTATTCAGTCAGAGGTTGCAGACTTTATAAATGGGTGTAGCAGGATGAAAGCTAAGGCTGGCTGAGCCGATGCTTCAGTTCCTCCCACTCCTTTGGGGTCTCCTTAGATGACTCTATGTGGACTCAGCAAGGTGCAAGATGCTGTGGTTTTGCTGGTACAACCTCTGCTCCATCAAAGGGACACATCACATAGCTATCAGCCTTTTCCCTAAAAAACTGACTTCTTTAGGTAAATAAATGTAGAGTAAGAGTTTTCAACTTTCTTTTTCTCATGTTTTGGGAGTCCTGGTGCGGCACTGTGGGTAAATGCACTGGACCGCAAGGTCAGGTTGAACGCAAGGTTAGTGGTTCAAATTCACCAGCTGCTCCTCAGAAACCCTATACAGTGTCGCTATGAGTTAGAATCAACTCATCAGCAACAACAATGTTTTAGGAGTCGTGTACCCCCTTCTCAGTCTGATGTATCTCAGGTACTCCTTATCTCAAAATACTGTTTCAAATGCCTAATTTAAACACATAGAATTTAAAATGAAATAAAAAATATTGAAATAGAGTTTATCATAATCCTTTTTTATAAGGAGCCCTGGTAGCATAGTGATTTAATGCGTTGGGCTGCTAACTGCAAGGTGAGCAGTTCGAATCTACCTGTTGCTCCATGGGAGAAAGATGAGACTTTTTGCTCCCATAAAGATTTACAGTCTCAGAAGCCATAAACTATACAAGGTGGCTATGAGTCAGAACTGATTTAATGACATGTAGCAGTTATTGTTGTTGTTCTTAGGTGCCATCGAGTCGCTACCGACTCATAGTGACCCTATTACAACAGAATAAAACACAGCCCCATCCTGGGCCAACCTCACAATTGTTGACATGCTTGAGCCCATTGATGCTGCCACTTTGCCAATCCATCTTGCTGGGGGTCTTCCTCTTTTTCTCTGACCCTCCACCTTACCAAACATGATATCCTTCTCCAGCAACTGGTCCCTCCTGACAATATGTTCAAAGTATGAGAGATGAAGTTTGGCCATCCTGGCCTCCAAGGAGCACTCTGGCTGCACTTCTTCCAACACAGGTCTGTTGGATCTTTTGGCAGCCCATAGCACTTTCAATATTCTCTTCCAACACCATAACTCAAAAGCATCAATTTTTTTACGGTCTTCCTTATTCACTGCCCAGCTTTTGCATGCATATAAGGTTATTGAAAATACCATGGCTTGGGCCAGGTGCACCTTAGTCCTCAAGGTGACACCTTTGCTCTTCAACACTTTAAAAAGGTCTTGTGCAACAGATTTGCCTAATGTAATACATCATTTGATTTCTTGACTGCTGCTTCTGTGAGTGTTGATTGTTGATGCAAGAAGAATGGAGTCCTTGACAACTTCAATCTTTATTTCCATTGATAAGAATGTTGTTTATTGGTCCAGTGGTGAGGATTTTTGTTTTCTTTACACTGAGATGCAATCCATATTGAAGGCTGTGCCTCTTTGATCTTCATCAGTAAATATTTTAAGTCCTCTTCACTTTCAGCAAGCAAGGTTGTATCATCTGCATATCACAGGTTGTTAATGAATCTTCTTACAATTCTGATGCCATGGTTTTTTTTCATATAACCCAGCTTCTCAGATTATTTGCTCAGCATACAGGTTGAATAAGTATGGTGAAAGAATACAACCCTGTCACACACCTTTCTTAATTATAAACCATTCAGTGTTCCCATGTTCTGTTTGAACAACTGCCTCTTGGTCCATCTATAGATTCCTCATGAGCACAATTAAGTGTTCCGGAATACTCATACTTCGCAATGTTGTCCATAGCTTGTTATGATCTACACAATCGAAAGCCTTTGCATAGTCAATAAAGCACAGGTAAACATCTTTCTGGTATTCTCTGCTTTCAGCCAAGATCCATTGGACATCAGAAATGATATCCCTCATTCCACATCCTCTTCTGAATCTAGATTGAACCTCTGGAAGTTCTCTGTATGCTTGCAGCCATTTCTGTATTACCTTTAGTAAAACTTTACTCGCATGGGATATCAAAGAGATTGTCTGATGATTTCTGCATTCTGTTATGTCACCTCTCTTTGGAATGGCAGCAATCCTTTTTTAGATTGTTGTATTCCAATACTTATGCTTCCCTATTAATACAGTGAATGACAGGATTTAGCAGAGGTCTAATAACTAGTTAACTTTTAAGAAATGATCAAAGTAAACATTATTTTGAAATATCTGCCACATCTATAATGTGCGATATTGTGTTATTGCTGTTAGATCGGTTGAGTCATAGAAACCCTCATAGGGTTTCTGAGACTGTAAACCGTTATGAGACCAGAAAGCCTCATCTTTCTCCTCAGGAGCGGCTGTTGGACTACAATGGGCAACCTTGTAGTTAGCAGTCCAGTGCTTATCCTACATCTGATATTCTATTGCCAATAGTTATTGTTGTTGGTATTGTTAAGTGCCATTGAGTTGGCTCCAATGTGCCATTGAGTGACCCTGTAAATGGTTTCCAAGGAATGGCTGGTAGGTTTGAACTGCTGATTTTGTGGTTAGCAGTCCAGTACTTATCCTACATTGCCAATTGTTTTAGGCTGTGGGCTAATGCGTCAGACTGCAAAGTCATTTGAATTGCAAGGTCAATGATTCAAGCTCACCAGCTGCTCCTTGGAAACCCTATACAGGGTCGCTATGGGTTGGAATCAACTCAATGGCACTTAACAACAAGTACACTGTAATTTGTTACCAACATTTATATTGAAAGGTAATGATGGATTTAAGTTACAGGTTAGTGAAAATAAAGATGTAATATGTTTTCCCTTCAAAGTTCACAGACCCAATGAATTCTCCCCACATATCCCCTTTAGAACCCCTGTCTTAGAGTCTCTCATTGATTTTGAATGGGGAAAGGAAGAGAAGTGATGGAAACACAAGTGTGTATGGGGAAATGGGGTGTGGTTTGCTTTATTTGCTTTGCTTAGGTAGTGGTTATGCATTGGGCTGCTAATCTCAGGGTCAGCAGTTCTAAACTATCAGCTGTTCCGCAGGAGAAAGATGAGGCTTTCTGCTCCCGTAAAGATTTACAGCCTCGGAAACCCTGCACAGGGTTGCTATGAGTCAGAACTGACTCCACGGCACATAACAACAACAAGTCAGTCTTACTCTTTTTAAGGGAAAAAAAAAAAATCATAGGAAGAGACTGGGCTCTTTATGCTTTTGTCTTTGCACAAATAAGTAAGAACAGACAAGAGAGACCTTGCTTTTCCAACCATACAATAAATAAACAAAACAGACAAACGACAAACAGATTTCCCAAGTACCATCAACAGACAGACAAATGGCAACAAATCCTTCCAACCTTAGTGCTGACATTTCCAGCAATAATGAAATCTTTAGGGTGACGCCTCAGTAAACTGAAAGTTTAAGAGGGAAGCTTATTTAGTAAAGTGGTAACATCAACTGGGGAAAGGAGAATTTTGCAGGAAAAAAACCCTTAATAATAAATAATAAAGAAAATGATAAATCAAAATTACACGAGTCACTGAATAAAACATGCAGGAACTGCTGAATTGGTGTATATTTTGCTGTCTATATTCATAACAGGAGTCCTGGTGTGGCACTGTGGGTTAATGCACCAGACTGCAAAGTCATTTGAACTGCAAGGTCGGCAGTTCAAGCTCACCAGCTGCTCCTTGGAAACTATACAGGGTCGCTATGGGTCGGAACAACAACAACATATTCATAATAACAACAAAACATGTTTTTAAATCACATCAGCTTCTGGTTGTTTAAAAAGAATTGATTCTAATTCACAGTGGCCCTTTAGGACAGATGTAACTGGCGTAGGGTTTCTGAGACTGCAAATCGTTAAAGGAGCAGACAGCTTCATCTTTCATCCTCAGAGTGACTGGTGGGTTTGAGCCACTCACTGGGTCTTGCAAGTTTTCTGCCTTTGACAGCATACAGTCTTACCACTTTCCTATGACTCTCTATTAGTGGGAAATATTTGCATTTTCCTTCTCTGATAGGTTTCTGCTTTACCCAGGTTCCGGCGTTAGCGGGTCTTACTGTATTGTGTTTCCTAATGAATACTAAAACCAAGCCCACACCACCGTTATGGACTGGATTCCGACTCCTAGGGACCCTACAGGACAGGGAGCACTGCCCTCTAGAGCTGTCAAAGCTGTCAATCTTTATGAACGCACACTGTGTATCTTTCTCCCATGGAGTGGCTGGTGGGTTCAAGGCGCCACATTTCTGCCTTTTGCTCACAGTTCAAAGCTTAGCTACAGCACCCCCAGGGCTTTTTCCAGTGAACAGACCCCTTTATCAGAATGAAAATGAAGAGAACTTTATAGAACGCCACAAACAGTATACCTAAACTTAATCTGGCAATTCAGAGCTTAACTACTCAATTCAAACGTGGGTCCTCAAGTGGCAGCTATGCACTGAAATTGATACAAAAATCGAGCTACCCAGAATATGAGCAGAACCATCGGCATTCCCAGGGCAAGGCTGCCTCATCCCACTCCATCCTCTACCTCCCAGTCACTCAGGAGTCATCCCATTGGCAACGTTACCTTCAGAGCCCCTTCTACCTCCATGTTGTTGTTGTTGTTGTTATGTGCCATGGAGTCGGTTCCGACTCATAGCGACCCTGTACAGTGTTTCCGAGGCTGTAAATCTTTACCGGAGCAGAACACCTCATCTTTCTCCCGCAGAACAGCTGGTAGTTTCAAACTGCTGACCCTGAGGCTCGTAGCCCGATTCGTAACCACTACGCTACCAGAGCTCCTACCTCCATAGTATCCTAGATATTTAGAAAATGTGGATGAAATTAAGATATATTAACATCTAAACTACCAGCTGTTCCGCGGGAGAAAGATGAGGCTTTCTGCTCCCGTAAAGATTTACAGCCTTGGAAACCCTGGACAGGGTCGCTATGAGTCGGAACCGACTCCACGGCACATAACAACAACAACAACAACATCTAAAAATCCCAAAGGTATCTCTTTAGCAGCTTTAACAGGGTAAATGCCAACACCCAGCAGACATGGAACATACCACTTAAGAAAAAATCAGAGGCTTGCATACTGATGCAAACAACTTTGGATATGTCAGTGAGCGGCTGCATTCTTTACAGAAGCAGAATCGATGATGTGGATGCTGAAGCTAACTTTCTCTGGAAAAAGCTCACATCACAAAATTAATTTCTCCAAAAGCTCTTTGAAAAATAAAATGGGCTTAAAAGGAAAAAAAAGAAGAAGAAAAAAAAACACCACAGAGTACTGTAATTTGAAAAGCAAGTGTTTTTAATTCCCATCGCTGGGAAGTGAACGCTGGGTTTCCAGTGTAATAATAATGAGTCAGGCCCTCTGTTGAAGGATTTTTTTTAATGGAAAGAGACTGAATACTACAGTAAAATTACAAGTGAGCGGAAATTGATCAAGCCTGTCCTAGAGTTTCCCTTCCTGGTTTGGTGTGGCAGAGTCCAGGTTAATAATTGGCACTTCCTCAGAACAAAGTGAAAAGGAGAAGAAAAGAAGAAACAGAAGGAACAAATTGTCTAAGTGTTTCTTATGCCATCTCTCCCTCAAAGCATTAGGGAATCACAGCAAGTTGACCTCATTGTCTAGAGGCAGAAGCTCGGGATGCTCCAGTAGCAGCTCCAAGACCTCAAAGGGTGCAACCCCAACAACTAAAGATGAAGTTCTATTTAGAAAAGCACTCAGAGATTAATTATAGCTACAACAAGAACTAATATTTACAGAGGGCCTATCACACATCAGTAACTTGCCTCATTTCAGCATCTTAACAATACTATTGGTATCCCTGTGTGGTACATGACTTCCAAGCAAAAGGTTGGATGTTTGAGTCTACCCAGAGGCACCTTGGAAGAAAAGCTTGGCCATGTACTTCTGAAAACTCAGCCATTATAAATCCTATGGAGCATGGTTCTACTCTGCTACACACGGGGTCACCAGGTGTTGGAGTGAAGTCAGCGCAGCTGTTTGGTTTTTTAAAATAAGAACTGTATGATACAGGTGCATGCTATTACTTTCTCTGTTTGCAGATGGGAGAAGTAGGACTGGAGGTGTTCTCCTACAACCACATAGTTTATGGAGGGGTCAGGGGTCAGACCCAGGCACTGCCCCTTCTACTCCGCTAACAGCTACTTCTTAGTCTCTCAACCTTCCCTCCTCTCCTTCCATACAATGTGTATGAACTCTCCAAGTACTAGGTATACAAATAATTCAGTTTAACGCAAAACTGAACTGAAAACCCCTAAGAGATTTTTAAAAATACATAATTTTTTTTTTTTCTTTTCAGTCAGGTTTACATTAAATATGATAATGCACATAAGCCTTTAGCCAAGCTCCTGGCACAAATAAGCATTCTGTAAATGTTAGCTATTATTATTATTAGCATTATGACCGATGTTCATAATCATTGCTATAGGATTCTTCCATTAATTTAGGCCAAACTCTGCATTTAGTATCTCAATTTCTTCATGTCCACTCTATGATGTCCATTCTGCCCTTCTTTGAAGGTCAATATTTTGACAGAGTTTAATTGTAATGACCTATTTCTACAATTGGCTTAATTGCCCAGTAAAAGAATAAAGTTAATTCCCTTTTTCCCCCAAGACTATCAACACAGTGTTTGTTCTGTTTAATGTCACTTTGGATTACTAAGAGACATAAAAATCCCCAAACATAAACATCATTAAACAAAAACTTATTCAAGTGGAATACAAAACACACTGAAGAGTGATCATTAATTCCTTAAAGTTTTTCTTTGGTTGTTGTTGCTTTTTTAATTATTGTTGTTGTCTGTTTCTGTTTTTGCCTTTTAAACAACTCCACCCAAAACTCAAAGTAGGAACACTCAAGTACAGATGCAAATAATCAAACTCTCTTCGAGTTGAGCTCCAAAAACAGATGCCTTGGGCATCAGGATTCTGGGATCAAGTGCTTGTTGGCTTAAAAGCAGAATCATGTTGGTTATTTTCATTTTGTTTATATTGCTTCCTAAAATGTTGTGTTTGAGAGTTAGACTTATAATTCAACCCTGTGGACAAACAGCAACCTAAAAGACAGAAAATCTTCTACATAGTTTGAAAGCATATATGCATCTTTAAGCATGTGACACAAATTTTTATCAAAACAACTTTTCAGTCTTGCTGGACATAGCTAACAATTCCAGGGGATTGCGTATTTATCTCAGCTTTCCTCAGCCTCCAAGCCTTGCTTTCCGAAAAAAAAAAAAAAAATTTTTAAACCCAGGATGGGAGAGCTTGAAAAGTCAGAGGAAAAGAAAAAGGCCCGAGTGCTTTAAATGAACCACAATATAAACATGTTCTAAAACAGCACTTAACAACAACAACAAAGGTATGAAACTTAAACAAACAAAAAGAAACCACTAAGAAACACAGTACAGTCAAAATGAAAGATCATGTATTATCAAACCAACTAAAGTCTGCATTCTGGTTCCCTCATAAGTAGCTGTGCAACCTTGGGCAAGTTATTTAAACTTTCTGGGCCTAAATTCCCCATAATATCTACCTTGAGCTACTGCTTCTGGGATTAAATGAGATAACTTATATGAAACTTCCTGGGCTAAATCCCTTATTTAAAACCAAAGCCCACATCAGTGAGCCCAAGGACTAAACTTTGACCTTAATACATATTTCGTTCTGTCCCTGCAAGGAAAGCCTGCTAGAGATACTCTGTTTCGTGCTGCAGGATTATAAATCACATGTGAGGTGTTGATAGTGGGGAGATGTACTGATCAAAGGTTTTCTATTAAATAAGAGTGTGTTGTGCTGCCTCTCTCAGACCAAGTGTGAACTGTCATATCAAAGGGACACAGCAAAGAGAGCAAGCTCAATTATAAACTGCTAAGCAATGAGCTCAAAACCCTGAAAACTGCCCAGAACTTAAAAGTTCCTATGTGTAGATATACATGTCTAAGTTTTCCTTGTGCACATAAAACCAAGGTAAAGCCATAAAACAAGAAATCTGTTACAAAACTCATTCCCCATTTAGGTCAATGTGTTTGTTGTTGTTATTGTTGTTGTTATTTGGGGTGCCAATGAGTTAATGCTGACTCATGGTGACCTCAGGTGATAGACTAGAACTGCCCCATGGGGTTTTCTGGGCTGTAATCCTCATTAAAGTAGACCACTGGGGCTTTCTTCTCAAGAGCACCAACCTTCCACTTACCAGCTGAATACTTAATTATTATACTACCAAGCCAAAGTTTCAGATGTCTGTAAATTTTAAGCAACTAGTCATCTGCCTCTATTTTCCCCTTTATCTAAGTGAGAAACAAGGAGCGCTGGTAGCATAGTGGGTTTAGCATAGTGGGTTGTGTGTTGGCTGCTAGCTACAAGGGTCAACAGTTCAAATCTACCAGCCGTTCTAAGGGAAAAAGATGAGGCTTTCTGCTCCCGTAAAGATTTACAGCCTCAGAAACCCTATGTTATTAAGTGCCATCATTAGGTTCTGACTCATAGCAACCTTGTCTCGGGTTTCCAAGGAGTGACTGGTGAGTTTGAACTGCCACCCTTGCAGTTGAAGCCAACCTTGTGGTCCAGGGCTTATCCCACACCACCACACCAGGGTTTCTATGAGTGGGAACCGATTCGACGGCACACAGCAACTAACACCATCAAGAAACAAACAACATAGTAGGTGCCCATGATCATTGCTGTACAATGTCCCTTCAAAGCGAGATAGAGCAACTCTATGCCTTGGCCGTCTTAGTTCTTAAAAGATCTCTTAGATACCTGTCTGGTGACTCCCACTTAGACAGCTTCACAAACAAGAAATGCATTCATAAAACCAATACCATTTTTGAATTTTCAAACAAACAAAAAGAAAACAAGAACACATACTCCCAAAAGCTGTTTCCACTAAAAGATTAACTATAGAACTGAGCAAAGAAAAGAGCTAGCATGTTTTATGAGGCCAAATGTATCTGACAATGGCATCAAGAAAGCCCCTCCTATTCAATGTTTCCTAAACTTCACCTCATGCTGGCTGTACAAAATTCTGTGTCGTCATTCACCTTGCAAGTCTAAAACCAACAGCTCTCCCCGGGTATACTCATAGGTCCAATGAGAGAAGGCCAACATCAGTTCCTCCAAAGTGTTGTTGGGAGCGATTTCATCACCATTATTATTATTATACTTGCGGAACTCCCCGGTCATATACTTCTCAATGGTCAGCCATTGGTTCGCAGAATGGCAATAGATTAGGAAAACTTCCAGGAACCTGTGATATAAGAAGAGTCCAGTGATTCTCACAAGGCAACAAAGGGGGGAATTAATTACAATTTTGAATAGTCGACAGCAGGTACGATCACCTGACTCTGGCTTGGTGCTGCTTCAATGAGCATGTCCTTCTTTTTTATGGAAGAAAGAGAACACAAACATAGGGAATTTTTCCCCACACTTACCCCCTTCCCTTCTCTTTGAGGAAATATTTCAACTCTTTTATGAGTACCAGACCCAGATTTTCTTACCATTCTCTATAAAGTTCCTCATAAATGAAATAAAACCTTATTGCAAGTCCTGACTACCAAGTTGTGATAGGTCCTGATAAATCAATACAAGCATATTGTGACACTAAGGTGAAAGTAAAAAGAGTTTATTCTGACAAAGCTTCTAATTTCTATAGGAGATTAGGGTATAAACTATGCTTGAAACTCCATCATGTTCCTGGACATTAGTACTGAATCTTTAGCATTACTGAGCTGCTCATCATGGTCTTTCCCAGAGTTTCCCTTTTTCATTCATTAAATTCCAATGAATTAAGACAAGAATCCAAAAATAAGGTCACGGGCAGCCTCCCCATGAGTCTGGGCATCTTGCATGACTAAGGAGATGAAAAAGACATTGATGGGGATTCCTTCTTAAAATGAATCCTGGCTTCAAGGATTTCCTCACCTGGGTGCATAGGGAATAGTTTGTGGTTTCATTTGGTTGAAGGTATAGATCAGTTTCTGAGCAGCTCTTTGTTGTTGAATTTCCTGCAGGAGCATAGATAAAAATAATGGTTTATTATCTCTGTAGTTGCAACAATAGGTTCAGAGCAATGATTGTGAGGATGGCGCAAGACCCAGCAGTAGTGTTTTGTTCTCCTGTGCATAATAGGGTTGCTATGAGCTGGAATTGACTTGATGGCATCTAACAACAACAATCTCACCTGCCTACTAATTAATGACCATAGATTACTAGAAGCTTCTGAAGTGTGATTTTAGGCTTACTTAGCTCCCACCATTCCCACCATTGTCCCACCCCCCAAAACAAAAATAACAAAACCAGCACCTCCAAAAAATAAGCTACCCTTTGGGTTGGAAACAGCAAATTTAAACAGGATATAGCGAGCTCTCCTTTTTCTGACCTATCTCTACCAATCCACTGAAATTCAGGCTTACCCTGAGGCAAAGATGGAGCACAGTGCTCTCCTGGAAGATTTTATGCCAGGTCTGCACAACCTCAGGAAGAAAGGACTTCACAATGAAAACTTGCCCTGGCTTGAGAACATCATCCTCGGACCAAGTGCTGATGGCTTTCATGGCTTTGCGGAGACCACCATCCATTTCCTCTCGGGACAGCACCTGGATCATGGCCGCTCTCCCACGCTGGGACCAAGAGGACATGCTTTTGTCGAGGTTCAAAGGAGAACTCTCCTCCAGCCTGTAGACAGTCACTTCTTCTCCTGCTGCAAAAAGAAGTGAAGATGAGGAGTTAAATGAGATGTCTAAGTCCAGGATATTACGGTGACCCGAAATTTCAAGCCAGAGTCAATTCACTTATTCAAATGATTAAAGGAGAATGGGAAGTGAACCTAAGCAGAGACTAGAACAGAATACAGGCATGGATCAGATAAACAAAGCATTGGAGGATTTATAAAAATAAGTAGTTCTTGGGACTTCCGGCGCTTCCCTGACCGGGCAGCACAGGCTAGGAGCGGAGGTCTCTGGGACCATCAACGGAGAAGAGCCGAGAGCGGGACCCTACCCAGAGAAACAGAGATGCCTGAGATGGAGACAGAGACGATGATGTGGAGTGATGAAGCGGCTGGGGACTTTGGATCCAGAGAGGGAAAGGGACTGTGGGCCAAAAACTGTGTGTGTGTGTGTGTGTGGGGGGGGGGGGGGAGTGTAGGGGGCGGGTTTCTAGGATATACCCTTTGGTTGGTTGATGATGCATGGAGGGGATTGGAACCATGGCAATGAGATGATAGTTCTCTCATGTAAACTATCATATAATTCACAATAAAACATTAAATAATAATAATAAGTAGTAGTTCTTATTGTGGACTACCACTGTAGGATCGCTATGGGTCAGAACCGACTAGACGGCACTTAACAACAACAACATTGTGAACTGGCACTGTAGACAATACTATAATCAAAGTATTGCTGTTGTTAAGTGCCTTCGAATGGCTACAAGTCAGCTGCTAATCTCACGGTCAGCAGTTTGAAGCCACTAGCAGTTCCGCAGAAGAAAGATGAGGCTTTCTGCTCCTGTAAAGATTTACAGTCTCGGAAATCTTATACAGGGTCGCTATGAGTCGGAACTGACTCCACAGCATAGACTATCACTGTAGACAGTACTATAATCAAAGTCGTGTTGTTGTTAAGTGACTTCGAGCCAGTTCCAACTCACAGCAACCCTGGACAGGGTTTCCGAGGCTGTAAATCTTTACAGGAGTAGAAAGCCTCATCTTTCTCCCGCGGAACAGCTGGTGGTTTCAAACTGCTGACCTTAAGGTTTGCAGAGCGATTCGTAACCACTACGCTACCAGAGCTCCTTAATCAAAGTATTAGAGGATATTATTTATTTATTTATTTATTCATTCATTCATTCATTCGTTCATTTATTTATTTTAATTCTTCTAAAGAGGAAGTTTATTATCATCTCCCTAAAAGGGGCTGTATAGTCCTAGTGTGGTGCTGTGGGCTAATGCGTCAGACTGCAAAGTCGTTTGAACTGCAAGGTTGGTGGTTCAAGCTCACCAGCTGCTCCTTGGAAACCCTATACAGGGTTGCTGTGGGTTGGAATCGACTCGACAGCACTTAACAACAACAAAGGGGCTTGTGAGTTAGGCATTGGGCTGCTAACCCCAAGGTCAGCTGTTCCCAAAGTCAGTTGCTCCATGGGAGAATGATGAAGCTGTCTGCTCCCCTTAAGACTTAGTCTTGGGAACCAGACACAGGATCACTAGTAGTCAGAATCAAAGGCAATGACTTTAAGGAAGCTCTCCAGACATTTTTTCCCTCTATTGTCCCCCTATGAAATTTTATCACTGCAGATATACTCTATTGTATATACTAGTACTGTATACTCCTTTTATGTGCTGTTTGTATAGTTACACTTTATCCATAAAAAGAAAGATGTGTTTGCCCTCTTGGGAGTGAATTACGCCATTGAGAATGCATGATTTAACCCAGTTAGAATCAGACATTACCAAGGTCATACCCCCATCCTCTTCTTCCTGCCTTTGTGCCATTGAATCAGTTATTTAAAGCTTCAATATCCTCATCAGTAAAACAGGGGTAAAAACAGTGTTCACCTCATTGGGTTGTTGTAAAGATCAAACACGTTAACATAGCTAAAGTGAGCTAGAACTTTACATACAAACTCAATCCCACTTAAAAGATTTTGGGTACAATATCCTAGGCTAACTGCTAGACAGCTTCCACGTTTTAGCTATTGAACAGGGACAATTCTTATTTGGTCTGCACTTCACCTAATACAATGGTTAGTACTTCATATCAGAAGTACCACATTCTATACAGCTCCTAAGGAGCTTGGGTTTAATTTTCTCCTTATGCCTCAGCAACAAATCACTTTTGTGAAAACACTGTATTGGTTTATTTAAAAAAAAAAACAAACTACTAACTCTCTCTTGCATTTAATTGCATAGCAAAAACGATACATCCAGGTAATGCTTGTTGTTAGTTGTCAGCTCTGACTCATAGAGAACCTGTATAGGATTTCTGAGGAGCAGCTGGTGGGTTTGAACTGCCAACCTTGTGGTTCGAAGTCCAGTGCTGATCCAACAGCACCACAAGGAGCAATGGTGGTTTAGTGGTAGAATTTTTGCCTTGTATGTAGGAGAACTGAGTTCACCTCCAGGCCAGTGCACCTCAGGTACAGCCACCACCCAATCTGTCAGTGGAGGCACGCATATTGCCACAAGGCTGAACAGGTTTCAGTAGAACTTCCAGACTAAGACAAAGAAGAAAGGTCTGGTGATTTCCTTCTGAAAAACCAGCGAATGAAAACCATGTGGAACACAACAGTCCAATTTCATTGTGCATGGGGTCACCACAAACCAGGGACTGACTTGTAATGCCAGCTAACAACAACAACAACAACATGCTTAGTAACATTTTCGATTCTTGGTGCCCAGATACGTGCCACTAAAGAACTCTTCAGAATTTAAACTGTGGGCCAATGTGCTGGACTGCAAGGTCAGTTTGAACTGCAAGGTCGGTGGTTCAAGCTCACCAGTTGCTCCTTGGAAATCCTATACAGGGTTACAATGAGTCAGAACCGACTCTACGGCACTTAATAACAACAACAAGTGAATATGGATTGTCAAAACCAGCTATGGTGAAAAGTAGGAGAAGATAGCAAATGCATTAAAGACCAGAAGCCAGCCTGATCTGCCCATGTAAAAGGGTGTGAGGGACAGAAGTTCATGAACAGCGAAGGGACCTTGGATATATTGTCAATGGGCTCATGCATTATACTGCAGGGCAGAGAAGCTCTGATAGAAGTTGTCAAATTACCCAATAAACAAGGTCAACACAGGCTTATTTGTGAGTACTTACTAACAGCAATAAACAGATGAGCATTTTTTCACCATATCAAAGATTCTGCTTCAAGTTGTGGCACACATGTGTCTTTCTTCCAACCCCACAGCACCTTCCTATAGATTCAAACCCTCTTTTCAAGTTTAAAATACCTGACAGGATAGAGTACCCAATAAGCTTACTTGTGCTTATATACTGATCTGTACTTATTCACTACAGATCAATGAGTAAGCCTGAGCTTGCCTTGTTTACTGGCCTGCCTGGCAGCCTGAGCTAGTGTGAGCTTGTTTGTCTTTACTACTCCAGCCTTTAAAAATGACATTTTTCTTTCTGAGCTCAGAGCAATTAGCGGACACAAAATAAAGCAAACAAATAAAGAGAATAATATACAAAGCATTTCTCTTCAGATGCCTATTGGCTTTTGCCATGTTGACATTGATTGCTTCCTTCTGTGTTTATTATGAATGGTTGGGTTGTTCTTTTCTTTCCTACTTACTTCCAGTCTCAAATCAGTGAGTGCCAGGTGTGAGTGACAACACAGCTTTCTTCCCAGCAGCCGCTCAGTAGAGGACCCATCCACATAGTATTAGGTTTTGACTGTAGGTTATAACGGCCATGGCAGTTAACTAGAGTTTCTATTTTAGGAAATTAATCTCACTAAACCATAACTACCAGAAAAAAATTCTTTCAACTGAAATGCTGCAAACTAGGTTCTCTTTTGATTTACTTAGATGTTGTTATGACTCTGGCCTGGCATAGCTTCAAGAAAATTGAAATGGTACTCACCGAACAGTTGGATTGGGGTAAAAGGTATGGTCTGAGAAAGTCTCATTAAATTGTTCCTTTCAATGGCTGCAAACAAAAACAGATTTACTTAAGGGTGATGGAAAAGTTTAAAAGTGGATAATGGTGATGGTTACACAACACGATGAACGTAATTAATGGAAATGGCAAATTTCTTGTTCTATACAACACATATCACAAACACAAAGTGTGAATCAGCGGGTTAATTTACAAAACCCTTGACAACATCAATGTAGTCATATAATACTAAAATATTTCATTTCAAAGATGCTTTTTTAAATTAATATCTATAATAAAATTGGGGAGCACAGTAGGATAAGCACTCGACTGAGAATCACAAGTTGTAGCCTACCATCCACTCCATGGGAGAAAGATGAGACTTTCTATTCTGGCAAAGATTTTACAGCTTCAGACACCCTACACTGGTTCGTTATGTGTCAGAACTGACTCGAAGGCATTTAACAACAATGATAAAATTATCACAGATAATAAACATTGTAATAGGGTGATCCATGATGCAGTTCAAAAATAATACTTTGATATTTTTTGGTACCTTTGATGTCTCTTGATGCCATATATAGGAATAGATTATATGAGATTATATAATATGGTCTGAAGCAAGACTATCACCTTCACATCCTGAAAACCAAATCTATATTAATCATGCATACATATGTGGAACTTCCTCTTAAATGGCATTTAATCTGTGATCTTCATTCTCTGGTTTCTCTTTCCCAAAACAAAACTAATGCCCAGTGGACTGTGGGGACATCTACTGTTAACTTTGCAGAGTTCACCTTCATTTTCCAGACAGAGTTGAAGACCAGTTCTAATTAGGAGCAATTCATCTGCATTTTTTTGTTAAGAGCCCTATCAGAGGAGATCAGAATCAATATGCGTTATAGTATTCTTCACCTTAGCCTTTCTTACGTTGACAACTGGAGTCAAAGTAATAGATGACTGCTGAGTTGAAAGATACAGTTTTAAGAGCTTGGAATGAGGAATCAGGAATCCACAGAAACACAGAGAGAATTCAGTATAAAGCAATCTATTGCTGGACCCTAACCAAATGACCTTAATATACTAATAATGGTAATTATAGCGCCAATAAACTCTTACCATGGACTGAACTTTAGACTGTGTGAAAGGCTTACCTATGTGTTATCTCATCCAATATGGAGAGCAATGACTCTCTAGAGACGACCCAATGGCATGAGTCCAGTTGTTTGTTATTATTGCTTTGCATTTGAAAGTATCTCCTCTTCATTCTCAACTAGGCCTTTGGCAGACTGTTCCTCAGGAAGGGCAAGTACAATTACTCCCTCTTGGAAAGAAAGACAACTGATGCACTGTAAAATGATGTTGCTTACGAGAGTAGAGACCCTTGACATCTTTGTTTAATAGCATCTTTGTAAAGGGTCTTTGTGGATCCTATTCTACAGTGTTGGCATTCACTCCGTGGTCATGTTTACACAGAGTCCAGTGAGGGTACAAAACACTCAAAGAATTAGTTTCAGGCTTGTGTCTTCCAAAACCTAAAGCTCTGAGAGCTCTGGCTTTGCACTTGTAAGAAATATTTAGATTTCAAGGTCATTGTTCTCCTTTCCAATTGGGAACTTGGCCAATACAAACTTTTTTTTTTTTTTTTTTTAACCCAAGTTCTCTTAATGACAATCAATGACAAGGTAAAAAAATTTGAATTTTCTTCTCATGAGCCATAACTCTTCATGGGGGAAACCACAGCAATATTACAGAATTCCTCTATGTTTCCGTTTGCAAATGCAGAACCACCAATGCTTAGTTCAGTTGACATGTCTATGTGCACATGCATCCTACCTGAATAATGATGGTGAGACTCTTGAGGGCTTTTTAAGGAGGCTGAGATTTCTGAAATTATACAGAAGATTGACATTTTAATTACTTGGCTGGAGATAAATACATGCTTATGAATATATTGCTTTCAAAGTTATTATTGAACAGGTTAATCAGAATGGCTTCTCAGTCTTCGAAAAAGATTGCCTAATATTCTTTAACCACATTATTGCTCATAGTATCCTGACAGCTTCCAATCATCAATGTAATATCTCCAAACATATTTATATAGGGAATTGAAGAAAGACAGGTAATATTAGCCTCAAAGATGTATTTCCTCTGAACCAATTACACCTCTGGGTTGCGAAGGCTCTCAGCTGCCCATCACACTTCATGACATCCCCAAAGCACAAACCTCTGAGCTCCCTACCAAGGCACAGTACCCATATAAAGACATTATTAATACCAAGTTACTCGCAGACTACCTCACTGACCTAAAATAACAACAAAATGATGACACTACATTAAGAGGTCTATACCAGAAACAAAGGAGAGGGCCATAGAACACCAGGGGATTTATTTAGCTACTGGAGACTGTGCTTTGGGAACACCTCCTCCAAGTTTAAATGGTTCTCTTCTATCTGCTCAATTCCTAAATTACAAGACTTCAGAGAAACCCTCTGTAACAGCTTTGCCTTTTCATAAAATCAAAATTAAAGTGGAGAGCTTTAGTCTCATGGCAGCAACTGCTCTATACCTAGTAGAGTAAGCAACATAATGAGCCTAGGTTCACAAATCTCTCAGGCTTCTTGTTGCTAGGTAAGTAAAGGAACAAGAATCACTTCCTTTGGGGGTACCTGGTAAAAAGTAAGATCAGCAGGAAAGACTCTTCCTTCTGAATTCATTCTACAATTTAAAAAAAAAAAAAAAAAAAAAGATTCCACTTTCACTACGGGTCACGCTAGATATCAGAGATGTATTTAAGACATGGCTCCCATCCTAGTCAACAAAAGATATAGTGGGAGAGAAAGATATGTAAGCTATAATCACAATGTGGTTTGCTAAGTAATATAAGAAAGGTACATACAATAGTTATGGAACAGATGAATTCAACCTAGAAGGTAGGACCTCATAGACAAACAGTGTGAAATATTGAAAAGGTGAAGACACCTAAGTCAACCTTGACTTCACCACACAAGGAGTGATGAGACTATTCACAGTCATTCAATCCCTATTTATAGAGCACTCAATATGTCCCAGGCACTGGTCTATGTCCAAGGGAAAGAATACTAATCAAAATAGACAAAGTCTCTACTTACATCCTAGTAAAGATAAATAGAAACTGAACAAATAAACAAGTAAAAATAGAATGTATATAGTACACAATGTCGCTGCTGTTGTTGTTGTTGTTAAGTGTTGTCAATCCGGTGCTGGCTCACAACAACCCAGTATAGGGTTTCTGAGGAGCAGCTGGTGAGCTTGAACCACTGATCTTGTGGTTCAGTCTGACCTGCAGTCCAGCACAATTGAATGTATATATCAGGTTAAGAGAGTCAGGAAATATGGTGGGCAGGGCAGTTGCAGTTTTATATAGGGTTAAGTAAGGCCTCTCTGATAAAGTGAAATTTCAGCATAGACCTGATAAATAAAGAGGTACCAGGAAGTGTAAATACCCTGAGGAAGGGCCATGCTTGCCGCCATGTTTTAGGAAGACCATGTGACCAAGATGAAGTAAGCAGAGAGGAAATGAGCCCAGAGAATTGTTGGGGAGCAAATCAATCGTCTTGTAGACAGTTTTTGGACTTCACTCTACAGAATGAAATGAAAAGATATTTGAGTAAAAGAGTGACTTAATTCAAATTTCCGTTTAAAGGGATTATTGGTGTTGCACTTGAGAAACAGGCTATTAAAGAGCAATAGTCTGGAGGTCACAATAAACTATAAGAGAGAGTTCACGGTGATTTTAAATGGTTGGAATGGTGGAAGAAGCCAAGTGATCAGATTCTTGACATATTTTAAAGAACGTACTAATAGATTGGATGAGGGGATGTGATAAAATGCGAGTCAAATATGGTTTCAAGATTTGGGCCACACAACTGGAAGAGTGTAATAGTCATTTACTAAGATTGGGGAGAAGGAAGATGGGGCATTTTGTTTGAAATGCTTTTGACATCCACATGGAAGTTGATGGTAGTTTGTAAGGCAGAATTACTGGAAGCATGAAAGGAATCATGCTGGCAATCTGGACAGGAGCCAAATGTTCAGGAGCATTGAGAAAGACTTTTAAGGATATGCAGGCAATGAGGTTCCTCTGTAGGTGTTGATTTATCATTCAGAAAGATCACTTCCATCTTTAAACATGGGAAAGTTTAAAGGGAGAGAAACCAATCAGAAAGTTAACACAAAATCAACAGCAAAGGAAAGCATACATTTTTTTTTTTCCCTCCAGAAATATAAATGATGAAGACCTTAAGGCAGAAACAGTGGCATGGAGCAAACAGACAGCTCTCAAGAGAGTTCGGCAGTAGAACAGAGTTAAAAGGCAAGGCTGACAGCAGAAATCAGTTGGTTGGGAAGAGGATTATAAATGACTGAGATTCCCATCTTGGGTAAAGGAAGAGGAGGCAATCAGAGAGACCAAGAACAAATCAACAAAGAAAGAAAAGGCCAATCTTGGAAGAAGACCCTCATAGAAACATAGAAAGGAAAGAATGTCAAGAAGGATAAATGATCAAATCAAATACCACAAGTTAGATGAAAAGCAGGAAGTCCTGCTTTGGTAGTTGAAGTGGAGCTTCAGTAGACTGGTACAGACAGAAACTTTGGGCAGTGGGCTGATGACCAACAATTAATACTCTCTTTCAGTTAATTTGGGGGTGAGGAAGAAGAATGGAAATTTGAAAGCCAAGTGAAAACAAGATTTTTTTTTTCATTGAGATAAAAATGTGTTTGAAGACTGAGAAAAAGAAATCACCTGCAAGAAGAGTACTGAGAACCTAAAAAAAGTGAAATAAGATTCTGGAAGGCAAGGGGGTCCAATCAGCATCAGGCAGATCAAGAATATGTAAAGGAGCTTATAGGTGGCAGTAAAGTTTGGGAGTAGCTAAGGAGCTCTGGTAGCATAGTGGTTATGAATTGGGCTGCTAACCTCAAGGTTGGCAGTTCAAAACTACCAGCTGTTCTGCCCAAGAAAGATGAGGCTTTCTTCTCTCATAAAGATTTGCAGCCTCGGAAACCCTGTGCAGGGTCACTATGAGTCGGAACCAACTCCATGGTACTTAACAAAAACAACTGACAGGTACTTTTCTGGGAAGCTATCTCACATGGCTTAGGTCCTACTAAGCCATTTTGGGCAGCAAGTTCTACTGAAACTATACAGGAAAAGGTATCTACATATAGTAGTAATTAAGTACCGTTGAATTGGTTCTGACTCATAGTAACCCTGCATAGGGTATCCAAGGGAGCTTCAGAATGTTCTTAGGAAAACTCCATTATCCTTTTATTTTAAGTTTTTATTGTGAACTGAGTGAAACTTTACAGGGCAGATCATCAGTTTTGCATTCAACAAATCATATACCTTATTTCATTACAATGATTATAATCCCCTCCATGTACCATCAATTAACACTATTTCTCTCTATTCATTTTAGTGTTTTTTGTTTTTTTTTAAACACTCAGGCATATATAATAAATTAAACCACTAAAGGGCACATTCTGCAAGTCTGCCTCCTGACCGCCAGCTTTCCATGAATCTAGAGTCCTCAGCTGTTCCCTCTCTCCATGTCCTCATCTCTGCCTCCATCTTTGGTGTCTCTGTTTCTCTGGATAAGATCCTGCATTCTACTTGTGTTCGTCTCCTTTGATGGTCCTAGGGTCCTCTATTTCTGGACCGTAAGATTAACTAGTCTACTGTTTTTGTTATAAAACTTATACCTTTACAACCATGACAGTCACAATTAGTCATGATAACAGTTATTCACTATTGAATCATAAGAATCTTATCCCCATCTCTTTTTGCCAAACCCAACTCAAGATGAAAACTATTCAGTGGGGACTCTATATCCACCTCACACACTTTTAAACTACACTCCTTCTTGAAACCTTGTAAGCCAGTCACTTTGTGCCTTTATCACCCCCTCATTTTAGGTAGCCAATGTCTTAGTTGCCCTTCCCTATCTACCCTGTATACAGAGGGGATAGCACTTATAACTTGATGTGAAGACTCCTTCCCTCTCTGTTGGTATTTTGAGCTACTACCTCCATGAGTATAGGTCAATTTCGTCAAATGATAGCATCTATTATCTTTTCATTCCATTTTTCCTCAAACATTTTGAATCCTTCTCGCACAATCTCATGAATGGCTCAGAATCAGCACTATGTAAACAAGTGGCAGTCAGAGTTAAGGAAAGGTGGAAATGAATTCAATGGTTATGCAATCACTCACAGAACTAGCTAGAAAATCACAGTAAAACATGGGAAACTTAAAAATGCTTAAACCAGGCAGCAATTTGTATATATCAGGAGAAATTCCATTTTTTACTCTTTCACTGAACTTTTCTACTTTGTATAGTAGACAAAAAGCACAGATAAAATTTCCAAAACTATAAAAATCAGCAGCACAGGGAACTTTATTATTAATGAGTTGTTGTTTTTTAATGTAAATTTTAAATATACAAAACTTACTGTCAACTCCGTTCGAACTTCTCAACCTGATGGAAAAATAGATGAAGTTGTTTAAATCACTAAATGATCAAAGAAGGGAAAATGTATATGACGCAGTTAACACCAATTTTATAGGCAGAGGCTTCAAAAAGTTCATGGAAAATGAAGTAAAAAGACAAGGGAATTTTTCTGTGAACTTTTTAAAGCCCTTTCCTATACAAGCACTGGTGGTATAACAGTTAAAGCATTTGACAGCTAACTGAAAGTTGGCAGTTCAAACCCACTGGATAACTCCAAGGGAGAAAGATGTGAAGATCAGCTCCTGTACAGATCAGTCTAGAAAACCCTATGGGGTAGTTCTGGTCGATCACATAGGGTTACTATAAGGCAGAATCTACTCAATGGCACCTAACAACAACAAAAAACACGTTGCTGTCAAGTCGATTCTGACTCATAGGTACCTATAGGGTAGAGTAGAATTGTGCCTCCCCTAGGGTCTCAAAGCTGAGAATCCTTACTTGAAGCAAGCTGCCACATCTTTCTCCCATGGAGTGGCTGGGGTTCAAAATGCTGACCTTATAGTTAGCAGCCGAGCACTTAGTTACACCATCAGAGCTCTTTAACAACACACACAGGCGCACACACAAAGTTCTTTGAAAGACAAGTATCAGTTACATCAGTCCAATATCTTCATCAATAAGGAGTTTTGCTGTCCTACAATTATTTCCATAGAAAAATGAGCATCAGATACTCACGGAAGTCATTAACTGTGTGCCTGAAGCTAACTAAAAGCAGTTGTTTTCTTTAATTAGCTATGTGATCACACAACATATATAAGATTGAACTGTGTTTGTGTTGCTTTGGATCAATTAAACAAAAGGGTTCCTGAACTATGCAAAGCAGATGACTACAAATGAGCCTGTGAATGTCTCTGGACAAGACTACAAATCAGTTTCATTAGCCCACGTGGCCCCTAAATGTTCACAGGCTGAAATTAGCTCTCTTTAAATTGTTACTTGCCCTGCTCAAGTGCACACGTGGCCACGGGCAAGTCTGAATAAATGCATTCAAAGAGTATCTCCAGTAGTTAAGGTCCTCAGGGAAGAAAGTACAATTACAATTATTGTTTAATTTCATGCTGCAATAACCCACGACTCTGTATGAGCACAAACTACTGAACCTTTGGGTGAAGAGAGTCATGTACCCTTTGAGTCGGGTGGCAGGCTTCCACAAAGACAGTGTGATGGGAGCTCCAGAAGAAAGACCATCTCTAACACAAGCTGACTGCAGACTAGAAGTTGACTTCTACCTGCATGGTTATCAAGTGGCCCTTGGTAGAGTAACCAAAAACTAGACCAAACTCACTGCCAATGAATCGATTCTGACTTACAAGGATCTTACAGGATAGGGTAAAACTGTTTCTTGGGTTTCCAAGACTATAAATCTTTACAGGAGCAGACAGTCTCATCTTTCTCCCTTGGAGCAGTTGGTGAATTTGAATTACCAGTCTTGTGGTTAACAGTCCAATTCTTAATCCACAATACCACCAGGGCTCCATTATAATTTTAAATCCTTCCCAACCCCAACCCTGACCCCATGGCTCTGTGGATAGCTAAGTTGACGATAGAACTGGAAAAATTCATAGAACACCAAAAACAAAATCGAGTAATTTTTGCTAGGTTGATTTTCAAATTTTACTTCTCTAAATAAATAAAATTCAAAAAAGACAGAAAACCAAACAACCAAACCAGTTGAGTCAATTCCAACTTTTGGTGACCCCTATGTGTGTCAAAGTGGAAGTGTGCTCCACTGGGTTTTCAATGACTGTGACATTTTGGAAGTACATTACTTGGGTTTTCTTCTGAGGTACCTCTCAGTGGATTTGAACTGCCAACCTTTTGGTTAGTTGCCAAATACTTAACTGCTTATTTATTTCAGTAAATAAAGTTCCAGGAATCTATTTAAGTCCACAAGCATGTGAGTTGCCCCTCTCAGACTCTCCCCACCTTCTCCTTTTCTCCCTGTCTCCCAACCCTTATGATTTTGACAAACAATTTAAAAAATTACTAAAAACCACAAAGAAATAAGAAAAATCAATCTCATATGTTAAAAAAAAAATTATTTTTAAAACTAAAATATAAATATAATCTGACCTTAAATCTAAATATTTTTGTTTAGGCAAGACAGATTAACTTTCACTTTTTAATGCAAATTCACAATCTTATCTATTAGAAAAGATACAGTAATTATTATTCCTTTTTTTTTTTTTTTTTGGCACAAAAAAGGCAAATGCTTCATTTATTATAGGAATACTTGCCTTGTTATAGTCTTAAAAGACACAGAGGTGAGATCTTTTTACCAGAAACAGGAAAACTTGGAGAATAAATTATTTTCATTATTGCTAATAAAGAAAAAAATTGTCATTTGACAAGCACCTTTTTCCCCCTTTTCTGACCAAATAAAACTTTTGCTACCAACCAAGTTAAAAAGTACAAATCAAAGATGCTCAGAGAGAGAAATTCAGAAACACTCACATGGAGTTCCTGTTGAAATTGCTGCACCTGGAATTCCACCAAGAGTTTTTGCTTAGATCCTGAACAGAAGGGAGAAGTCATTACATGTACACCCAACAAACTCTCATCCAAAGCTTCCAGTAATGTTCACAAAACATGCTCCAAGGAGGATAGATGTTTATTTTCTTTCATCTAGCCCAATATTTCTCTTAATCCACATACTACATCCAAACTAGAAAGATAACTAATATCAGCACAATACAAACTCAATGTGGTGATGTCATTAGTCCCATTTTAGAGATATAGTTAATGAACTGGTAGTTTAATTGATAAACAAGGTTTTGTAACATAGAATTGTCAAAGTCAGGATTTGAACATAGGTCTCTGCCTCCAAGTACCCTCAAGCAACTGGTATGACACTGTAGGATAAGCACAGAAATGCTAACCACAAAGTCAGCAGTCCAAACCCACCAGCTGCTCCTAGGAAACCCTATACATGATCACTGTGAGTCAGAACTGACTCAACGGTACTTAACAAAAACAACAACCATCTTTTCATTTGTCTCTCAAAGTCTTTCACAGATTGTTGGTATTGTTAATTTCCTTTGAATCAATTCCAATTCCTAGCGACCCTGTATAAGGTTGCTGAGGAGCAGTTGATGGGTTTGAACCACCAACCTTGCCGTTAGCAGTCCAGTGTAAATCCTACAGTGCCACACCAAGGCTACAGATTACACTCCTACCAAAACCTCTGAGCTTGTCAGTAACCAGACACTTTCAAGTTCATATAGATAATGTTCAAAATAAGACCAAATTAAGTGTCTGTATACTCTGACTAGTTAGTGCTTTCTACCTGGTGGATGGTGCTTAAACTAGCGGGTATTTGTAGATGTTATAACTCAACCGATTGCAAATTTACTGAATCTCAGCACGGGAGAAACTCTCACGGTCTTTTACAATGCTCGAATTATCTGCCAAAGGGTCTGTCCAAGCTGTGCTTAAAGAACACCAGAGCTCACTACCCTATAAATAAACCATTCCACCCTTGGAAAACCCCAATTCTACAAATATCTCCTTCCGACCCTGCTCCCAGTATCTTCTGTATGCTGACTCTAGATGTATTGTATAAGTGGTCTTTTTTGGAAAAAAAGCTATCAAATAAGATGTCTTTACCTGTTGAGACTGCTTTAGGTAATCACTGACTTGCACAGCATGCTGTTCAGTTTCTTTACTTTTCATTTTCTGATATATACATGGTTCTAAACCTTGGGAAAAGGAAGGGGAAAAAATGGAGAATACATGAAGATGTTTTATATTCAAATCAATTTTCAAATGGAAAAATCTGAACACAGTACATTCATCTAATGCATTAAATATAGTTTTATTTCTCTGTTCTGCACAAAAGTTACCAAGTTGCTGTCATTCTGTAATTTCCTCAAGTGCCTGAAGGTTACTTATGGGGGCTTCAGACAGTTCATGGAAAAACAGAACTGAAAGATCATGGGATTTTTTTTCCATGAACTTTTTGAAGCCCCTCATGTATTCTGTTTTTAGTCTTCAGCATCATGACCTTAGTGGTTACAAATTGGGCTGCTGATTCAGGGTCAGCAGTTCAAAACTACCAGCTGTTCCATGGGAGAAAGATGAAGCTTTCTGCAACCATAAAGATTTACAGCCTTGGAAACTCTGTACAGGGTCGCTATGGGAACCAACTCCATGGCACATAACAACAACAACAAATAGTTACCCTCTGGTATGGTGTGGCACTACAGGATCAGCACTGGGCTGTGAACCACAAGGTCGGCAGTTCAAACCCACCAGCTGCTCCTTGGAAATCCTATATAGGGTCGCTATTAGTCAAAACCGACTTGATAGCACTTAACAACAACAACCTAAATTATCTTTTGGAGTCCTGGTGTGGTTCTGTAGGATAAACAATGTATGGCTAAACCCAAGGGCAATGATTCAAACCCACCAACCACTCCTTGGAAATCCTACACAGGGTTGCTATGAGTTGTAATCATCTCAACTGTACTTAACAACAACAAGTTGTTACCTTTACATTTACAATGAACATAATTCTTGATCAAATTCAAAAACCAATTTATCCATTTGCTGTTAGTTTCTGTTCCAACTAGTGCCAACCCCACGTGTGTGACGCAGAACTGCTCCTTAGGGTTTTTAAGGCTGCGACCATTCAGAAGCAGACCTCCAGGTGTGTTTCCCCCAGGTACCTCTAGCTGGGTTCAAACTGCCAACCTTGTGCCTTGAGTACTTTGTAATTGAGCACTTAACAGTTTGTGACACCCACGAATTCAAAACCATCTATAACCTCTACTATAAAACAATACCTTTAAGTAAATTTTAGTAATTATTATTATTATTTTTTTTTTTTGCATTCACCTTTTCCTGTGGTGTTTTAGTTCTAAAATGTTAGGAATCATTCCTTTACAACTACATTAAGCATCTTAGTCCAAAAAAATCAAATCCACTGCCATCAGTCCATTCTAATTCATAGCAACCCTGTATAGGGTTTTGGAGACTGTAAATAATTATAGGAGTAGAAAGTCTCATCTTTCTCCCATTAAGCTGATAGGTTTAAACTACTTACCTTCCAGTTCAGTGTTTTTGCTACTTTAAAAGAAAAACAATGCTAGAACAGAAATCAAATTGGTTTTAAATATTAGCTTTTTATTTTAAAGGAAGATGAGGATCACTGTTATTATTTATATCTGGTACTTTACAGAATCGCTGGCATATAAGTAGGTACCCAATAATTATTTAGTAAATGGCTGGCTAGATTAATTCTGAAAACATTATTTATTAAGAGTTACGAGCAATCCATTCCATAAAACTAAAACAACCAGATGGTGCCCAGCTACATGTTTTGATCAAAGATTCTACAGAAGACTCCTAATCAAAAGGGGGGAAATGCAGAACAAATTTTCAAATTATCACGGAACTCATGACTTTCTGGAATCTTTGATGCTAAACTCTTTAAACTACTGTCTTAAGATAATCTTTAAAGCTTAAGCCTGAAACCAAAAATATCCCAGTAGTTTGTAGCCAAATAATAGTTTGACTTAATAAGTAATAAATGCCTAGAACACTGCACTTTTTAAAGAACTATCTAGATGGAGTCCTAGCTAAAATATAAATGATAAGCACTGGCCTGCTAACCACAAGGTCAGTGCTTCAAACCCACCAGCAGTTCTTTGGAAACCCTATACAGGGTCGTTATGAGTCAGAACCAACTTGATGGCACTTAACAACAACACCAAATTGGCAACAAGAACATGAACGATTAGATAGGAAGCTTAGGAGACAGTGTGAGTTTGTGAGGCAATGAAGAGAAGGAACAACTTAGAAAAAGAGATTGAAAATGGCTGCAAAATTTGAAGAATGTAATTAATGTTACTAAACTATAGGTGTAGAAATTATTGAATTAGTACATGTTCTGTTGGACATATTCTCAAGAATAACAACAACAAATAATCATTTTTTAAAATATTACTAGCTAAAATATAGATGCATCCAACTAAAACTAACCTAAGAGATTGAAAATAGGAAACCAGAGACATTAATTTATAACAAAGAAATTACACAGTAAAAGGAGGGAATAGTGTAGTTACAGAACTTCCAAATAGAAAGGAAGTCAAGATTTTCAAGATGGAACATACCTGGGAAATAATTAATCCATGTGTTACTTGGGTAAAGAAGAAAGTAATATGCAAGTGAATAGACAGGCAGGCTGAACAGGTGTGTGAAAGAGAATGAGAGTATACCCACAATAAATGTAGGTTTGACATTGGATACTTGTATGGGCATTTGTATGCATTGTATTCTTTCATCATTTGTATTTAATGTGTACACTGAGTAAATAATCTCAGAAGCTGGCTTTATGAAGAATAACAAGGCATCAGAATTGGAGAATGACTTGTTGGCAATCTGTGATATGTAGATGATACAATCTTATTTGCTGAAAGCAATGAGAACTTAAAATACTTACTGATTAAAATAAAATACCATAGTATGGGTTGCACCTCAATGTAAAGAATGCAAAAATCCTCACTATTGGACCAATAAATAGAATCATGATAAATGGAGAAAAGATTGAAGTTGTCTAAGACTTCATTTCATTTTACTGGATATAAAATCACCACTCATGGAAGCAGCAGTCAAGAAATCAAATGACAGATTGTGTTAGGTAAATCTGCTGCACAAAACATCTTTAAAGTGTTTAAGAGCAAGGATGTCAGTTTGAGGACTAAGGTGTACCTGATCCAAGCCATGGCGTTTCCAACAGCTTCACGTACATGTGAAAGTTGGACAATGAATGAGGAACACTGTAGAAGAATGGATACATTTGAGTTATGGTGTTGGAGAAGAATATTAAAAGTACCATGGACTTCTTGAAGAACAAACAATGTGTGTTGGAAGAATTACAACCAGAATGTTCCTTAGAAACCAGGATGGCCAGACTTCGTCTCTCATACTTCAGACGTATTATCAGGAGGGAACAGTCCCTGGAGAAGGACATAGTACTAGGTAAAGTGAAGGGTCAGCGAAAAAGAGATGGATTAGCATAGTCATCACCAGTGGGTTCAAGTACAACAACAATTGTGAGGATGGTGCCGGACCAAGCAGTGTTTCGTTCTATTGTGCATGAGGTGGCTGAGTCTGAACTGACTCAATGGCACCTAACAACAACAACATGGGTATTTATTTTTGCTGCAAATATATCTATGAATATGAAAGAGCATGCAGGGGGCAACGTTATGAAAACTTAGACAGAACCAAGTACTTTCAGGGAATGAGTCACTGGGCCTGGGGGCCCAGGACCATAGTTTTAGGGGACTCCAAGTTCAACTGACATGTAACAGTCTACAAAGACAATGTTCTACATCCTACTTTGATGATAGTGACTGGGGTCATAAAAGCGCATGAGCAGTCGTCTAAGGTGTAGTAATAGGTCTATCCCTGTCTGGAGGCAAAAAGAGTGATAAAAATTGAAGGCACATGTAAACCATCAGTCTAGTGGACTAAGGGACCAGAAGAACTAGATTATGTCTAGATTCTAACACCATCTGCTCTGAAAAGGATCACATTAGATGGTACTGGATAAAATGGGAGAAATGTGAAACAAAACTCTTATTTATCAAAGAGACCAGGCTTACTGGTCAGCTAGAGACAGGGGAAATCCCTGAGACTGTGGCCATTAGTTACCTTTCAGATCTGAGATTGAACTCACAGTCCTGATTCAATTCTCAGACAAACAACAGACAGATTTATAAAGGGAACAATACACTAGTGAGGAATGCACACCTTAGACTAATCAACCATTTGAGATCAACAGGGCAGCATTTAGACAAGGGCAGAGTTTGGAAGGATTAGGAAAGAAGAAGGAATGGAAATAGGAAATACAGAGAAGAAGTGGAATAAGCGATGCTACTCTGAGGGGACTGTAATCAATTAGATTAAGCAGCAGATTATGAATTGTTGAATGTAAAACTCTACTCTATAAACCTTCACCCAAATCACAATAAAAAGTTTATATATATATATGCTGTTGTGATGTGCCATGGAGTCGATTCCAACTCACAGCAACCCTGTACAGGGTTTCCGAGGCTGTAAATCTTTACAGGGGCAGAAAGCCTCATCTTTCTCCTGCAGAATAGCGGGTAGTTTCAAACTGCTGACCTTGCAGTTCGCAGCCCGATTCATAACCACTACACTACCAGAGCTTAGTTTTCCATAGTGATTTTGTGCTGAGAAAAAAAATAAAAGTACATCAGGAGTACAGATAGTCTGTTGGAAAATCACAATAGTTTATATATGATATTCTTTTTTATATTAGAGTATCATAAAAATACAGTAAATATTGCTTCAATAGTTGTTGTTGTTAGTTGCCATCGAGTCGGTTCCGACCCATAGTGACCCTGTGTAGGGTTTCCAAGGAGCAGCTGGTGAACTTGAACCACCAACCTTGCAGTTCAAATGGCTTTGCAGTCTGGTGCATTAGCCCACAGAGCCACACCAGTATCAGAATTCATGCTGTTGTTGTTATCAAGTGCTGTCAAGTCGGTTCTGACTCAGCAACCCTGCTAACAATCCTGTATAGGGTTTCTGAGGCTGTAAATCTTTTCAGAAGCAAAAATCCTCATTTTTTCTCCCCAGGAGCAGCTGGTGGACTCAAACCACCACCTTGTAGTTTTCAGCCCAGTGCTTATCCTAAGGAGCCAACGCACTCCCAAAGCAACCATGCTGTTCTTGTTGTTGTTAAGTGCATAGTTCTGACCCATAGCGACCCTGTATAGGGTTTCCAAGTTGCAGCTGATGAGTTTGAACCGCCGCACCAGGATTTTAGGAAAAGCTGAAAATACACGTATTCTTTTCATAGTTAATTTCTTTAGAACCTTGCTTGTTCTGTTTGAAGAGAACTACCTAACAAAAGCATCTCTCCATACCTTCCCCCAACACATATGTACATACCTACAAATTTTTACTTTTTAATGTTTTGGGGTTTTTTTCCAACTAATTCTTAACTTTGACCCATTTCAAAAGGGAGATTCTCAGATTTTAGATGTGTTTCAAGGTAGATACTGGATATCTTCATCTCCTCACACTAGCAAGCCACTTGGGGTAAGCTTATTTCCCTAGGTCATCTCTGCCTACTGATCTGAGTTCAAAGGAATTCTCTCCCACAACTCCCCAGCCACTCACAACTTGCTCTGTTTGAAATTCATTGGGAGAATTTAAATAACTCCAGTAAGAGCCATATGCAGTAACCTTAATATTATTTGTACTACTTATAAAAATATAAACAAATAGTATGTAATATAAATATACAATATTTACAAATAAAATGAATATATCTAATTGGTCTCAGAACCTTTTTTTTTTTTTTTTCTTTTAACTTTTAGAACCATTTCTTAAGGTGTGGAAATTGCTTATTCAAAATTATGGTCTCTAGTAAACTGTGTAATTGGGACAAGACAATCAAGCTCTCCAGCCGTATCTGTAAATTGAGGAGGGTCTCAATAATTTAATTTCTAGTGCCTCTTTCAGCTTAGAATCTAATAGACTCTCAGTGATTTAAGAGACAATCAAAAATAAATAAATCAGAATTTCTCAGCCTTAACATTGACAATTTGAGTCAGGTAATTCTTGGTTGTGCAGGCTGCCCAAAGCATTATAGGATGCCCAGGATCGGCCAATGTTTCATTCTGCTGTGCATAAGGTCGTTATGGGTTGATACCGACTCGATGGCACCTAACAACAACAACAACAAGCAGCATCTTGGCCTATATCCATCCACTAGGTGCTCTTAGCTTCCTTCATCCCATATGTGACATCCAAAATTATTTCCAGACATTGCAAGTATCCCAGTGGCAGAGCAGAAGGTGGTACAACACTGAACCCAGTTAAGAAGCATTGATAGAAACACACCTCATTAGCACAGCTGGGCTTTAAATAAGCTATAGAACATACATTTCAATAAAATGTCTATTTGTACCTTATGTTTAGTATTCCAAATAATTTTAAATCTCTCTGACTTCTCAATCACATAGCCCCCACTGTTTTTAAAAATCAATAAGGATCCCGTGTCATCTAATTCAAGAAGATCAAAGCTCTCATGATTGCTTTCCATTCTATGCGTAATATGCCCCGTCTTATCTACCCAAGTTTATTTCATAGTCATACAATTGCCCTGCTCATAGTCCTCATTTCTAGCTGCTTAACCAGTCTTCCCTCTACTACAAACACCAAGCCTAAGGGACACTTGAACACAGAATTATCACTCTATGTGGGCAGCCATAAATAACCAACTATAACTCAATGCAATGAGTTTTGTGTAGGGGTCCTATCAGTGTTCATGGGAACACTAAGAATTTTAATAATTAGATCATTTGTCCTCATCTTTCCCCATTTTTGTTGTTGTTTTTAGGTGCCATCAAGTCGGTACTGACCCATAGTGACCTTATGCACAGCAGAACAAAACACTGCCCAATCCTGGGCCAACCTTACTATCATTGTCACGCTTGAGCCTATTGATGCTGCCATTTTGTCAATCCATCTCACTGGGGGTCCTCCACCGTACCAAACATGATATCCTTCTCCAGTGACTGGTCCCTCCTGACAATATGTCCAAAGTATGAGAGACGAAGTTTGGCCACCTCTGACCTCCAAGGAGCACTCTGGCTGCACTTCTTCAATACAGATCTGTTTGTTTTATTGGAAGCCCATGGTACTTTCAATATTCTCCTCCAACACCAGAACTCAAAAGCATCAATTCTTCTACAATCTTCCTTATTCACTTTCCCCATAAACCAGACTAAATGGGTGCTCTCTGTGAAAACTTTCTCAACAATTTTGAAAGTAAGAGACTATCTAAATCTCAGCTCTTTTTTTTCTAGAATCTAGTAACCATTTGATGAAACAAATGAAAAATGTATTCCTTTCATTAAAAGTTTAAAACAGGAAGGAATGTGTTATCACCTAATTTTTCAATCATTTCCACTTGAAACAAGAATAGGGACCACCGGCAGTCTAAAGTCTCTACATTGAGAAAACTCTGCCCAAGTGTTTAGAATCCAGAACTACAGAGTGTTACATACTTATCTGACTAAATTTGGACACCGTGAGCCAGTTCTTGCTGTACTCCTCCTCTCTTGAGATGCTGTTTCCTCCTGGCTCTGAATTCAGTTGGTCACTTTGAGAGCAGGTGTTGACTGTTATGACCTGGAGAGAGGCATTCATTAGAACACAACGAGATATGAAAAAATGTTGAGTTACATTAGTGGAGGAACTTAAGTAAAGAGCAGTAGTTGCCAACCTTGGCCAACCAATATCACCTGAAAAGCTTTAAAAGAAAAATTCTTTTTCTTAGGAGTCTGTGTGGTTTCTATCTGTTGTCATCATTTAGAACGAGGGTGTAGATCAGAGATTCTCAAACTTGACAGTGTATCAGAATTACCTGAAGGGCTGTGTTACACCACAGATTGCTGGGCTCCACCCCCAGGAGTTTTGATTCAGTAGTTCCAGGGGGAGAAGGAACAAGAAGGTGCACGTCTTAGAAGTTCCCAGGTGATACTCATGTTGATGGAAAGGAACTACTTTTTTGAGAAACATCGATATTGAGGGGGGAAATACAACATTTGGGGTCAATAAAGGACAGAATCTCAACCTTTATCTGTCATTATATGCAAAATAATAGTATTAACTCAAAATGAATCTAAACCTAAATGTAAGAGCTGCTGTCATTATTAGGTGTGTTTCAGTCTGTTTCAACTCATAGTGACCCGACATACATCAGAATCAAACACTGCTGCTTCCTGCATCATCCTCACATTGTTCTGTTGGAGCCCATTGCTAAAGCCACTCTATCAATCCATCTTGTTGAGGCTCTTGATTTTTCTGCTAGCCCTCTACTCTACCAAACATGATGGTCTTTTCCAGGTACTGGTTTCTCCTGATAACATGTCCAACGTACATCAGACAAAATCTTACCATCTTTGCTTCTAAGGAGCAATCTGGCTATACTTCTTCCAAAGCAGATTACTTTGTTCCTCTGGAAATCCATGGTATATTCAATATTCTTTGCCAACACCATAATTGAAATGCATCAATTTTTTCTTGGCCTTCTTTAGGCATGATCCAACTTTCCCATGTATTTGAGGCAATTGAAAATTCCATGACTTGGGTCAGATGCTTTTCAATATCACTTTAAAGAGGTCATTTGCAGCAGCTCTGCCCAATGCAATATGCCATTTGATTTCTTGACTGCTGCTTCCCTGGGTATTGATTATGTTGTTGTTAAGTGCCATGAAATCGGTTCTGACTAATAGCGACCCTGTATATTGTTTCTGAGGAGCGGTTGGTGAGCTTAAGACACAGACCTTGAGATTCAAACCGACCTTGCAGTCCACACATTAACCTGCAGTGTCACACTAGGACTCTGGGCATTGATTATGGATCTAAATCAATTGAAATCTTTGACTTCAGTCTTTTCTCTATTACCATGATGTTGCATATTGATCCAGTTGTTAAGGATTTTTGTTTTCATTATGTTTGCTGGTGGTTATGTGCCATGGAGTTGGTTTTGACTCATAATGACCCTGTATACAGTTTCCAAAGCTGTATATCTTTACTAGAGCAGAAAGCTTCATCTTTCTCCTGCAGAGCAGCTGGTAGATTTGAACTGCTGATCACTAAAAGGAGCTCTGGTAGTGTAGTGGATTACTAATGTTTTATAAGATGAGTTGCTTACCACAAGGTCAGCAGTTTAAATCTACCAGCTACTCTGCACAAGAAAGATGGGGCTTTCCACTCCTGTAACGATTTACAGCCTTGGAAATCCTATGCAGAGTCACTATGAGTCACAACCAACTCCACGGCTCAGACCAACACTACCAGAACTCCTTTCATTATGTTTAGGTATAACCCATACTAAAGGACTATAGTCTTTGACCTTTAACAGTAAGTAAGTGCTTCAAGTCCTCTTCACTTTCAGTAAGCAAAGTTGTGTCACCTGCATTTTATAGGTTATTAATGCGTCTTCTTCCAATTCTGATGCCATGTTCTTCTTCATATAGTCAGCCCATCTGCTCAGATTATTTATTTGACATATAGATTGAATAAACATGGTGAAAAGTTACAACCCTGACACACACTTTTCCTGAATTTTAACTATGAAGTTTCCCCTTGTTCTATTTAAATGACTAACTCTTGGTCTATATGAACACAATTAAATCTACTAGAGTTCTCATTTTTCACAATGCTATCCATAATTGTTATGACCCATTCAGTCAAATGCCTTTGCATAGTCAATAAAACATAGGTAAACACCTTTCTGGTATTCTCTGCTTTCAGCCAAGATTCATATGAAATCAGCAAATGACATCTCTTGTTCTATGTCCAACAGAACCTTTTTTGAAGAAGTGCAGCCAAGATGGCCAAACTTCGTCTCTCACACTTTGGGCATATTGTCAGGAGGGACTAGCCTCTGGAGAAGGATATCATGTTTGGTAAGGTGGCGGGTCAGAGAAAAAGAGGAAGACCCCCAACGAGATGGATTGGCCAAGTATCAGAATCGATGGACTCAAGCGTGGCAACATTAGTGAGGTTGTCCCAGGATCGGGCAGTGTTTCGTTCTGCTGTGCATAAGGTCGCTATGGGTCAGTACCGACTCGATGGCACCTAACAACAACAACATGTCCTCTTCTGAACCCAGCTTGAATTTCTGGCAGCTTCTGGATGATGTACTGTTGTAATCACTTTTTAATTATGTTCAGCAAAGTTTTACTTAAGTGTGATGTTAGTAATCTCCTTGATAATTTCTAAATTCTGTTGGCTCACTTATTTTTTGAATGGACACAAATATGGATCTCTTCCAATCAATTAGCCAAGTAGCTGTCTTTCAAACTTCTTGGCTCAGATGAGTGAGTGCTTCCAGTGTTGCATCCACTTGTTGAAACATATCAATTGGAGTTCCATCAATTCCTGGAGCCTTGTTTTCCATTAATGCCTTCAGTACATCTTGAAATCATCCGTTGGTTTTTGATCGTATGCTACCTCCTGAAATGGCTGGGTGTTAAGTAATTCTTTTGGTAGTGTGACTCTGTATTTCTTTCCATCTTGTTTTGGTACTTCTTGTGTCATTCCATATTTTGCCCATAATTCAATATTTTTCCCACAATCCTTTACTACTGCAGTCCCTTTAACTTGAGAAATGCTAATGTGTTCTTCCTTTTGAGTTTTCGAATTATATTTGTACATTCATGTAAGAGCTAAATATAAGAACTAAAACTGTAAAACTCTTAGAAGAAACATAGGAGAAAATCTCAGTTATTTGGAGTTTCGCAAAAAAGAAATTTATATGACACCAAAAACACAGACTTTGAAAGAAAAGGAAAAATAAAAAACAGTGGATTTCATCAAAATCAAAACTTCAAGCTCCTCCAGGGGCACTTATGAAAATGAAGAGGCAAGCCACAGACTGTGAGAAAATATTTTCAAAACCGATATACAACAAAAGGCTTATATGTAGACTATATAATGAACTCTTACAACGTAAAAAGGCAAAAAGCCCCATTTTTTAAATATGCAAAATATACATGAATGGAAAATAAGCGCATGAGAAGATGCTGAACAATATTCATCACCACAGAAATACAAATGAAAACCACGCCATGAGGTACCACTACACATCAACTAGAATGGGTAAAAGTCAAAAGACTGAGCACACTAAAGACTGATAAAGATGTGGAAGAACTGAAACTCTAATACAACACTGGTGGAAATATAAAATGGTACAATCCCTTTGGAAAATGTTTTGGCATTTTCTTAAATACTTAAACATACACTTACCCTATGATTCCCAGCAGTTGACTCTTGGGTACAAAAAGAAATGAAAATATATGTTCATACAAAGACTTACTTGTACACAAATGTTCATTTAGAAATACAAAAAAAAAAGAAGAAAACTTAAATGTCCTCAACACATGAGCAAATACACAAACTGTGATATATCCATTATGATAACTGAGAAGTCCATATCTTCACTCTTCCAGTAAAATACTACTTTGTGTCCATGGCATTTTTAAAAAAAAAGAAACCAAGCTAAGAGAGCCCATGACCTCAATTACTAAAAATATAAAAGACTATGGGTAGACTTACTGGCACCTCCAGTTTTTGTGCTTTCTTCTTTTTCTTTGACAATTTCCTGTCTTTGGCTACAATTTTTGCTTTGGCCCATGCTGATGGTTCTATTTCTGAGGATTGTGAAAGATCTGTAAGGAAATGGTTTACAAGAGAAAATTAAGATGGTAAGGGGGAACAATGCTGCTTTACAAAATACACCCAAAGAATGGGGAGATTGGTAATTCAGTTTAAATTAATAAAAATTTTAAAATGGTGCTATGTAAAGAATTTAATACAATTTAAAAAAAAGTGTTTACTTCTTACTTTTAATCTTACAGGTCTTTATCAATTTGTCTTCTTTGTGGAATCTAAAACTATAGCTCCTAATGAAGAACCTGTTTCTGCGGAGAGGATTGATCCAAAAGGAAGAGTTTGGCTGGGACCATGGTCCCACCTCTGAGCAATCACTACATTGGGCCAATCTTGTTGGGTTCTCACAGAGGGATCTGGCCCGGCTTTGCATCTGGCAGGGTCCATTCTGGGTTGAGTCACTGCTATAAGTGGAAGGTAAGTAAGTTTGCCATTTTTTCTTGATGCTACACACACCAGTTTCATCGACTTCTGAAAATGCCCAGTTCACATATCCACCTCCAGTCCGCATGCTCTCCACTTGGGAAGGAAGCGAGGTTGCTTTCATGGGTGCAGGTTTGGAAGTCAAGATAGGTAGAATTTGTTCCCCTTGGTGTTGTTTGGCTTGTGCCTGAGTGAGTGTCACATACTGCTCCTTGGGTTCGGCTATTAACCCCTGGTCTGAGATAACTGGTGACTGCCAGTTCAGATGAAAGGGGACCTCACTCTGGATGACCTGCTCAGTTGTCAGCATATCTGCCTCTGCTTCCTCAGATGGTCTGGATAGAGACAAAGTCATTTCTGAAGGAAAAGAAACTTGCTTTATATAAGTAGGAACCTGGAGAAATTGACCATAATTTGGATGCACTTGCCAGTTAAGGTACACCCCAGAAGCAGCTGTACCATTTTTTGTTTCTTGCTCTTCCTGCTCATTGCGTACATTTGGAGCTTGTCTCAGATTGTCTGTAATATCAAGAAAATGCCCCCTCTCCACTTTTGGATGATGTTGGCTTCTAGCCAACCTCTGCAGCAAAGAAGGTGGCGTGCTATAATACTGGTACTTCTTCTCTCCAGAGGTCTCCATGCTACTTAGAACCTCTGTACAGATGACATTGCTCCAGCTATGGGGAAGTTTTCTGCAAGTAGAAAGCTTCCTGTTTGTCAGAAGAGCCTCATCCTCTTGCAAGGTGTCAACAGCAGAAAGGACTTTTAAGGTATCCACGGTCAATGCAGAAAGGTCCTGAAGGTGTCCCACCTGGCTGTCCAAAGACAATAAGGAGTCCTTTATAAAAGACACCTTCTCATTCATTTCTTTCAGTTGGAAGTACATCTCTGTGACCCTAATGTTGAGGGAAGGGAGAAAACCAGTAAATACATTAAGCCAATGGCAATCTGCCTTGCCCACTTCCTGTCCTATTTATATCCTTATACGGTTCCTCAGTTTTAGCTGCTTCCGCCAAAGTTAGGTCTGTGCTCTGCCTTCTTCTCTCTCCACTATATATTCCCATCCCAGGTGATCTTTCCCACACCTGTAAATTCCACTATCAACCTGTCATGGACTGAATTGTATACCCCTAAATCAGGGGTCACCTTGGCTGGACCATGACTCCCATTAGCAATTTTGTACTGATGTAATTGGCAGTTAGGTAAAGATGTAATCATCCCTCATGGTGTGATCTGATGCAATAAGCTAATTAGTTGTGAGGGGGAGACAACATCCTTATTCAGGTCACATCCCTGATCCGAGGTAAACAGAGTTTCCTTGGGTATGGTCTTCATCATTTTTTATCTTAGAAGAGATAAAAGGATAGAGAAGTAAGCAGAAAAGATGGGATCTCAGTACCACCAAGAAAGAAAAGCCAGAAGCAAAACATGTCCTTTGGACCCAGGGTCCCTGTGCTGAGAACCTTATTGGCCCAGGACAAGACTGATGCCAAAGTATATAAAGCTTTCCAAGAACATTGGGCCCACAGATGTTGAAAGGAAACAAGGACCTTCCCTGAGAGCTAAAAGAGAAAGAAAGTCTTCCCCTGGTTTTAGACTTCTAGCCTCCTACACTATGAGGTAGTAAATTTCTGTTTGGTAAAGCTATCCACTGGTGGTATTTCTGTTACAGCAGCTCTAGATAACTAAGACTCACCCAATGAGAGAAAAGTTACGATACATTTCTAGCCCTTGCTTCTTTCTACTATTTCAAAACGACATTCCCACCTTCCTGTTATCCCAGTAATCATCTGATTCATTATCTTATTTTTATTTGTGAATGTACATAACAAATATTTGAGTATTTTTTCTTGGCAAGAATTGGACAATTTTGGTGGGGAAAGAAAATGTTAATGAAGAAACCAGAATGGCAAGAAGATAATCAATAATTAAATATGTAATTGGGGAATGGGGATGTCTTTACAGAGCTTAAAAACAAACAAACAAAAAAACTCCACATCAACAAATAGACTTCCCAAGTTCCAAATAGAACTATATTCATAAAAACCCTGAGGCAAATTTTTTAAATTATTTTGAAAAATTTAACCCAATGCTATTATGTCCTGCTACTGATTCATGTGAGAATAATACTAAAAACCTTCAGCTATACAAGTACTACACAACTTTATCATTCATGTAACTTTCCTAAATAAAGTACATCAACCTTCAAGAGTGGTCTTTCTTTCTTTTATTCGTGTGCTTCATCTTCATTTTTTCTGTTGGGATGGATATAAGGAAGATACTACAAAATGTCTCAATAATGAAAATCTTTGATGAATAGGAATAAAGTAAAAACAAAACAAGGGATGGAATCTAACCAACAGTTTCAAGGCAGACTTGACCATGCGCAGACATATAGAATGACTCCAATCTTATATGGAGGCAAAGGAAGCAGTGATTATATCACCAGGCTAAACACTTCATGTGTATCAAGCACTTTCCAAAGCAGTGTTAGACTTTCCCTTTTTAGAACACAGCTCAAGTCACATGGATTGATAGATCTTCCATTTCTTCTTTCTGGGAGCTTTGTAGGTAGGTATTAAAAAATAAAGAGTGTAATGTTTTCCATTTTTGTTATTTTCTGTGTGGATGGAGTCATTTATTTATTGCTTCTGCTATAGAATCCAACTTCTTTAACTTAATAAGGGCTTCCTGACCCTCTGGAAACTGCAAAACCAGAGTTGGCAAGATGATGAGGGAAAGAGCACAAAGTATATGTATATTCCCTTCCAAATATGTTTAATTAGCGCCTCTCCATTCAGTGCACTGTTTCACCTAATTCAAAAACAGTACAATCTGAACAGCAGTAAATGGAGACTCATTAAATTCCATTAGCAGCCATCACATCAAATGATACAATAGAAACCAGCAACTATTCACAGCAACAGGTAACACACTACAATAGAAACCTGTTAGACAAATAACCCGGTCACCTTCAAATTGGGTCCTCTTGCTTTTAAAGGCACATGTTTTCTAAAGCTCAATGTCCTGTGAAACACCTTTTAATTCTAATCCCAGGCCACCAACTACATTAGTTCAATCTAGCCCTTCAGTGGTTCTGACATGTAAAATAAAATCTTATCCTTTTTTGTTTCCTCTGAGCAATGTATGAAAGTGGAGGGAAGACCAGGATGGTCTTCAGACAGGATATTTTTAAATGAGATGAAAACAAGGGTAATTATATTCTTCAGCAGCATCATCATCATTGAGTGCTCTCTATGGGCCAGGAATTTTACAAAGGCCTTCATATACTATTTTATTTAATCCACATAACTATTGTCCCTTTCATAAAAAATAAAAAATAAATAAATAATTAGGTCTGACTCTCATGAATGGTCAGTCACAGAGTCAACCTTGAAATCCAGACAGTCTGACTTCCTATTGGATGTTGTTAACCACTGTACTCTAGTACCTCTCAGTAACTTAACTGAGACTCATGGTAAGGGTCTTTTGGGGTCCTAGAGTCCCAGGGAGAACTAAATAAATTATATCAGCATTTTTCAGGCTGAAACGTGTTCATAGGTGTTCCTCAAAAAGGTTCCATGGTCAAATAAGGATGGGATCTGCTCGAAATATAACCTCTATTACTATGCACATCACGTAAAATATTTAGACATTTTTTTCCAATCCAGCGTTTACCAAATATAAAATATCCAAATATAGTTGATGTGGAGGAACACTTAATAACATCTTCCTCCACAGTACAAAGAAGAGAAAGGTTGGTTTACACTAAAACAAGGTCAAAAACAAGCCAGCACTCCAAATACAAAGGGCAAACTACATTCTGTATGAAAAGATATAAAACAACTTTAATTAGCTCTTTTCTTTTTCCACTTTCATAACTCACTTAATTCTATAAGGATATAAGATTACAGTCTAGAAAACTCTATGGGATAGCTCTATTCTGCATATAGAGTCAACCGTAAGTCACAATCAACACAATCTCATCAAACAAAACATACAAATATCTTTTTAACAGCCTGTAATGATGAATTTGGAGTCCTGGTGTGGCACTGGAGGGTAAGGCAATAGACCGCAAGGTCAGTTTGAACCACAAGGGTGGTAGTTCTAATTTACCAGCCGCTCTTTAGAAACCAAATACAGAGTCGCTATGAATCAAAACTGACTCGATGGCACTTAACAACAACAATGGTTCATTTTATGTTCCAACTTGGATAGGTTCTTAGTAGTTTGACCAAGCATTAGTACTGTTGCTTCCAGAGAGTAGTTATGATAGAACAGGGATGTAAGGAAGGAGAAGCAAACCCAACACTCCACCATCTACCCAGTCCTCCGGTTAACCACCAATAACCACAGGTAGAAGATAACTAAATAAGGAGACCAAAAAAAAAAAGAAAAGAAAAGCTATGAGAACGTTAGAGATGGACATTTTAAAGAATAAATACTCCTAGGCAGCCATGATCGATGTCTAGCTCACTGGCTTTCAGAGACAGGCATGCTTGTTTATTGAGTGTACTTTCGCTTTCTATTAAACCTACTTCTCACACTCCTGTGGTCTTGCTCATGTCTTGCGTGCCCGACACCTCATCTGAATCTGCGACTCCCACTAGAAGTCCAGGAGAAGTCTCATGGGACATTCGATAACAGTTGTTATTAGTTGCTACAGAGTCAGCTCTCAGTCCTACTAACCCACGTATGTAACAGAATGAAATGCAGCCTGGTCCTCTGCAACTCTCGTAATTGTTGGAATATCTGAGTCCATTGATGACGTCATTGTCAGTCCATCTCACTGAGCGTCTTCTCTAGCTTCCAGTGGCCCTCCACTTTATATGATGTCCTTCTGTAAAGATCCATCCCTCCTGAATATGCATCCAAAGTAAGAGGATCAAAATCTCGACAATATTCTGTGGTCTGTAAGAGTTGTTGTTAACTAATTTTTGGAAATAGATCATCCAGCCATCCTTTCTATTATGTTTTAGTTTGAAAGATCTGCTGAAAACTACCCACCATGGGTGCCCTGTTGGCATTTGAAATACCAGTAGCCTAGCTTCCAGCAGCCTAACAATACACAAGTCACCATAGTGCAATAAGCTGACATACGAGTGATAGTATATAGCTACATGTGATTTAATCACCTAGCTTTAGTTAGAGTAAATTATTTCCATAATGCAATCTAAAGTAATGTAATCAATCAGTTGAGATGTGGTGAAATTAGTTCATTTATGCAGCTTCTGGCCTTGGTTCTTTGGAAAACAGCAAGAATTTTCCCCAAGCCCTGAAGAATTACCTTTGCCCTTGTTTTCTGTCACAGAAGGTTAGTTACATTTCCAGGGCAAATTGTAAACAACTTGGTTTGATACTTTTTATCTGGTCCTGAGCTGCAGCTTGCCTTGTGATTGGCTAATACACTATGCAAATGACATTATTATGGACTATACAAATGAGGTTACTATAGCCTACTATGCAATTTAAGTGTCATGGGATGGGTCAATCTGTGGCCACCGGGCTTGGAGGGACCACGCCTTGAAATTGACAAGTAGTTGTGATATATGCAACCAACCCTCCAGAGGTCTTCCTGATGGAAAGGAACAAGAAGAAAAGCAGAAGGAAGAAAGGAAAATAGAGAAGAGGCAAGAAACCACCCAAGAGAGCTGCAACATGGGTAAAGGGATTTAACACTGAAGACAGAGGCCCAGATATTGTAGAGCCAGGGGTGACAGGCCTGGAAGGTGCCCAGTGGTTGACCTGATGGTGACAAATAGCAGAGTCAAGGGAAACCAGTCCTGAGAGAGCCAAGAGGAACCTGTCCTGAAGGGGCCAAGAAGAGGACTATTCAGAGAGGAGATCAACATGACCAAGAGCAACTGAGAAGCTTGTAGACAGAAATAAGCAAGGAGAGAGATTTGTCTACGTCCTAATCCTCATCCTAACTAAATCATAGCCTATTAATCCAAATCCCAAATCATTATATGTTACTTCCTTAATAAAGCACATACCTGTAAGGATAGTCTAAGGGTTCAAAGTGGCCAAAGAAGAGGAATAAAGTATTGAACCCAGAAGAGAAATAGAGAGTACTATGGGAAGAACAGAGTCCTGGTGTGGTGCTGTGGGTTAATGCTCAAGACTGCAAGGTCAGCAGTTCAAGCTCACTAGCTGTTTCTCAGAAACCCTACACAGGGTCGCTATGGGTCAGAAGCGACTTGACGGCTCTTAACAACAACAACATGGAGAGAACAGCTGGTTTCAGAATCAGTTAAAAGGTTGGGCACTGGCAGTTCATCTGACCGCCACCTCATAGGAATCAGTTTTGGGTTGACCCTGGTCATTAATCTCCCTAAAGTTAGACAAGTTCTGATGTTACTGATGCCATCATTTTACATGCGCTTATGCCAGAGTAGGGTGGCTCCTAAAACTAATCACTTCTGAATTACAAAAAAGAGCAGAGTAGACACATACACACACACACACAGGAGAAGACAGACAACACGTGAGGACTGTCTATAGCAAAGGAAAGCCAAGGATAGCTGACAGACTCTAGAAAGTAAGAGAAAGGATCCCAGGGGCAATCGACATGACTGAAAAACAGAGCTCTTAGCCTCCAGAACAGTGAGAAAATCAATGCTTGTTCTTTAAAGCCAACCGCTTGTGGTATTTCTGTTAAGACACCAGTAGGAAACAAAGACCTTTCCTTTCCTCCCTCTGCAAATTATTGCTCAATTACTCCAAAAAGATATCTTTCCCCCAATCCCCTACTTCATTTATGAGTTCTTTAGAAATTACCTCAACAAGGGAAAGTGTAAAATAAGTAAGGAAAATTGATGAATTAATTCAAATTGCTTCAATGTTTAATTGTTGCTATTAAGTACTGTCAAATTGGTTCTGACACCTAACAACTATATATAGGGTTTCTGAGGCTTTTAAAAATTTTTGACACAGCAGAAAGCCTCATATTTCTCCCATGGAGCGGGTGGCAGGGTCAAACCATGGAATTTGTGTTTCTCAATCCAGTGCTTACTTATTGTATGAAGCCACTGCACTTTCTCAAAGTTTAGTGTTTCATAAAAAATTTCTGCAAAGTATCCATCTATCTTCTAATCTTTCTTTATTTAAATCCAAAAGGGGAAAAAACTTGGTGGCACAATGGTTAAGCACTCAGCTGCTAACCAAAAGTCGGTCACCTTGACCCCACCAGCAGTTCTGTTAATCTGCTCCTATAAAGATTGGTGGTGGTGGTGGCTGTGTGCCGTGGAGTCAGTTCCAACTCATAGCAACCTTGCATAGGGTTTCCGAGGCTGTAAACCTTTACAGGAGCAGAACGCCTCATCTTTCTCCTGCGGTACAGCTGGTAGTTTCGAACTGCTGACCTTGAGGTTAGCAGCCTGATTCATAACCACTAAGCTACCTGAGCTCCTTCTATAAAGATTACAGACTAGAAAATCCTATGGGGCAGCTCTGTTCTATCACATAGGTTGAAATCAATCTGACAGCACTAAAAACAACATCTATTGGGACATAAGAATAAAATATATGCGTAATTAGGTATGTTGTTGTATGTCATCGAGTCAGTTTCGAGTCATAGCTACCCTGTGTAGGGTTTCTGAAGCCGTAAATCTTTATGCGAGCAGAAAACCTCACCTTTCTGTCATGGATCCATAGTGGATTGAAATGTTGACCTTGTGGTTAGCAGTCCAATGCATTGCCCACTACACCACCAGGTTTCACATGATTGCATGTTATTGTTAAGTGCCGCCAAGATGGTTCCGACTCATAGCAACCCTGCATAGGGTTTCTGAGGAGCAGTTGGTAGGTTTGAACTGCTGACCTTGAGTGCTGATCCTACAGTTCCACACAAGAGCTGTCATAATTAGGGATAGTATTTTATTATCAGGTCCATGTATGTTCCAAAATGAAGGAACATATGTAACTTATGTCAAGTTGCTGCCAGCTATCAGAGAAATTCTGTTGTTTTTTTTTAATGTACACAATAACATGCAATCCTCCGATCACCTGCAATTAGTAAGAACACCCTACAATCAGCAACCCAAATATCTTCACTATCTCCAACACAGGCTACAGTTACCAGCCTCAAGGGCCAACGTGATCCCACCACTCTGTCTGCATCCTTACGTACAAGTACACTTGTCACCTTACCATACCCTTCAATAACCACCTTCTTCAGCAAACAGCTAGCTGCCTCCTTCCCATATCTGCAGTTTCCCCTTGCTGGTACATCATTTCCAAGACCACACACATGTGTTTTATTATCTCCACATGAAACAAAACAAACCAAAAGCCCACCTTGTCCCCACAACCTCTTGCTTTCCTTCACAGTTAATCTTATCGAAAAAAGGCTCCCTATAACTACTGCCTCCATTTTTAGTCTGTCATCACCCACCCCAGTGAAGCTATAAGCAACAGTTAATTTCTGGCAACTGCTGGTCAGGCACCCCATGAACTCTAGAGCTCCCAATCCAACGACTGATCAACTGAATGTGTGCATTTGCTTCCTCCAGGGTCTACCTCTTGCTCTTGTACACACAAAGTTGGCTCCTGCTTTAGGGCATCTGCATTTGCTTTTCCTTCTGGCAGCTGCGATATTCCATAGGGTGTCTATACTTGGCTTCCTCTCCCCTCACTTTCTCCCTCTGGTCACAGTGTCACCTCCTCTTCAGAGTGACCTTCCTTGGACCAGGTTGTCTAAAAGAGCCCCAGCTCACCTCCCTCATTCCTTCTCCCTTAAGCTGCATGATTTTTCTTCATAGCTCTTTAACTGATTACCCCTAAATGATGCTGCTTGCCTATGTTTTGCCATCCACTCTCCTCATTCCCCTCCCATCAAACACACACATCAGAATGTAAGTGCTATGAAGGTAGGTATGCTTGTTTCTTTTTCACTGCTTAGCCCCAGTCACAGAGTCCTGGTGTGGTGCTGTAGGATCAACTCTCGGTCACAAATTTGAACAACAAGGTTGGTTTGAACTGCAAGGTCAGTGATTCAAACTCACCAACTGCTCCTCGGAAATCCTATACAGGGTGACTATGAGTTGGAACCAATTGGATGACACTTAACAACAACAACAACATTCCCAGTAACAGGAAGAGTGTCTAGAACATAGTAGATATTCAGCAAACATGTACTGATGTAATGAATATTATATCCATATGCTGCCAGGTGCTACTAATATTAGAGAACTCAAATCTTTTGGCTTTGTAGTGAAACTTTCTACTCTTTTAGACATTCTAGTAGAACCAGATTTTGATAGCAATATAGGGATAAGGAAAAAGACACATCTTTTACCTCCCTGACGTCACTCGAATTCGTTCCTCACAACTACAATTCAAGCTTTCCATCTTCTCATGGAAGTATTTTTCCACACACTGCTCTTCAAAATCGTGAAGTTTTTTCAAATCTTCATTACTCAGGTACAGTTCTGTGGAAATAAGCATGGAAACAAAAAGAATTTTTGTTATTCACTCAATAGGAAGTTATCAGGAGGGACTAGTCCCTGAAGAAGGACATCATGCTTAGTAAAGTGGTTGTTGACGTTAAGTGCCATAGAGTCAGTTCTGATTCATAGCGACCCTGTATAGATTTTCTAAGAAGTCGATGATGAGTTTGAACTGTTGACCTTGTGGTTCACAGTCGAGTGCTGATCATGCAGCACCACAGCAGGATCCCTGGTAAAATTGGAGGATCAGCAAAAAAGAGGAAGACCTCCAATGAGATGAATTGGCATAGTGGCAGCAACAGTGGGCTCAGGCATGATAATAATTGTGAGGATGCCCAGGACTGGGTAGTGTTTCATTCTATTGTGCACAGGGTCGCTATGAGTCGGAACTGACTCGATGGCACCTAACAGCAACAGGAAGTTCATATAAGCTATGTCTTTTCTTCCACTTTTGTTGAAAATTATTAACTATAGCTTGCATGATCAAAGTTTACTGCTCTGCCATGCTGCATTCCTAATATTGATGGAGAAGCAGTAGGTAAACACAACTGAAAACATCAATTTGTTTCTTTCCTACTTGTTCTATAAACACATTTTGGCTGTGGTTGTTAAATGTCATAGAGTCGGTTCCAACTCACAGCGACCCTGCATAGGGTTTCTGAGGAACAGCTGGTGGGTTTGAACCACTGACCTTGAGGTTAGCAGTCCAGTGTGAATCCTACAGCACCACACTAAGACACAGCAACTCTTTCACGTAGACAGTACTTTTCCAATTTACAGATGAGGAAATTGAAACTTAGGGCATACTAATTTACATTTACACATGAGCATACTAATAATCAGTAACCCACTGGAATTTGAAATCAGGCAGTCTTAAGTGCAAAGTACATGTTGTTGCTGTTGTTAAGTGTCATGGAGTCAGTTCTTACTCTTAGCAACCCTATGTAGGGTTTCCGAAGAACAGCTGGTAGGTTTGAACCTCGGACCTTGTGGTTAGCAGTCAAGTGCTAATCCTACAAGCTCCATACCAGGGTTCCAAAGTACAAGTACTGACGTATATATCAGTATGCTTCCACTGGTGTTGCTGTTGTTAAGTGCTGTCAATTCCAACTCACAGTGACTCTCCATAGGGTTTCCAAGGAACAGCTGGTAGATTTGAACTGTCGACCTTGTAGTTAGCAGTCCAGTGCTGTTTCTACAGCATTATACTAGGACTCCATGAGAAGGGTCAAAAATGTGCTCATGAAACAAAGACACTTTATATTCAGTATTTTCATAAATTCACACACAAAAAAAATTCACGATATTTATATGCAAATGGCCAGGAACCTAGCTGTCTTTAGTTTTTCCAGGCCAGATGTTTTAGGTGTGGTCGTGGTGGAGGTTATGTGCCGTCGACTCAGTTCCGACTCATAGCAACCCTGTACAGGGTTTCCAAGGCTGTAAATCTTAATGGATCCAGAATGCCTCATCTTTCTCCCGTGGTTTTGAACTGCTGACCTTGCAGTTCGCAGCCCGATTCATAACCACTACGCTAGCAGAGATAATAACTAATCTGTAAATTAAAACAAAGTTATTGTTGTTGTTGAGTGCCATTTAGTTGGTCCCAGCTCAGTAATGCTGTTTAGGGTTTCCAAGGAGCAGCTGGTGTATTTGAACCACTGACCTTGAGGTTAGCAGTCCAGTGCTTATCTCACACCAGGACTCTAATCCAAATTTAGAAGGCAAAGTCTGTTAAATTAATTCAGTAAATATAAGAAAGTTTTGCCTTGTTATAAGCCATTCTATTATCTGCCAGTGACCAATCAAGGATATATACCTTACCTGCTGTCATTAGCTCATTAAAAGACATGGAGCCAGACGGACTGTTACTACAAGAACAAACAAATCGCTTCCCTAGGAAACATTAAGGCAAGTGACCAGGTCCTCTCAATGCAAACCCCCTTCCAAGACTAAGACTCAACGGAAATGCACGCTCTGATTGGTGTGACCACACACATCACTGATGGGGGGAAATGGGGTAAAAGCAGCAATGAAGCGTCAAGCTAAGCCCTACAATATTCAGTGGACTTTTGTGGACCCAGTTGGGGACCTGGATTGCAAGCAGTGTGAGGAGACCTGGGGACTCTTGGGTCCAGAGTCAGTGGCGTGGCTACGGAGGACTCGAGAGGAGAGTGGAGCTACCGGCTGACAGGAAGAGAGGGCATGTGCACAGGAGCACCCACACTTGCAGATGATACCCACGTGACCTGGACTGGATGACTGAAGGATCGGAGCTCAGCCAGGAGAATAAAGAAGAGGGGAGGAAAAAAAAAAAAAGAGAGAGAGAGATAGCTGATACAATCTGATGAACTTGACCTATACCTATGGAGCAGCAACTCAAAAGAAGGAACAAACCCTTACAGCAAGAATCATTCCCACCCCCTCCACACACAGAGTGGACAGAGATGGGCAACTTGGACATTGGATACTCAAATGGGTAGTGGGGGACTACAAAGGCAAGAAGTGACTGGCTTATAAGCTTTCAAGGGGGAACCTAGTGCTAGGGAGCATGGAGGAAGGCAGAATCTCCAGTAGGTACTATTCAATCTGTCTGGGTGGAGCAGATGAAAGGATATACTGTAGTGAATAATGCTTATCAGGACAGATTATGAAGGTTGGAAATGCAAAGGTGGACGTTTTGGAACAAGGAAAGGAGTGATTAATTCTACAGGCCAGGAGCGGAGCTACCTGGGACCATCAACGGAGAAGAGCCGAGAGTGGAACCCTACCCAGAGAAACAGAGATGCCTGAGATGGAGACAGAGATGATGACGTAGAGAATGAAGCGGCTGGAGACTTTGGATCCAGAGAGGGACAGGGACTGTGGGCTGAAAACTGGGGAGGGGGGGGAAGGCTTAGGGGGAAGTGTAGGGGGTGGGTTTCTAGGATATATACCCTTTGGCTGGTTGATGATGCATGGAGGGGATTGGAACCATGGCAATGAGATGATATACGATGGAATGAATGTAAAACTAAAGTTCTCTCATGTAAACTACCATATAATTCACAATAAAACATTAAAAAAAAAAACCATGTGATTTTTTGAAATAACGGGGCTAAGGAAATTCTGAATCACCATTCACATTCACTCTGCCACCATGAGCTCTCACTCTATCCTAACAGAATAATGATATACCATCTTTTGGACAAGCTTATAATATATAGAAAATGTAAAAATAAAATGGTGTTGTGAAAAGGGTGAAGTTAGAAATAGTCTCTTCCTTCAGTAGTTTCACTTACATCTGAAAAAATAAAAAAAGAAAAGAACCATTACAGTTCTCTGAGATTTATTCAAATGAAAATGTTTTGTTGTTTTATAATACAAGGAGGGACCAAAAATGAACTTTCATTGAAAAACACTGGCTAATATGGAGGGAGTCCTGGTGTGGTGCTGTGGGTTAATGCGCCCAACTGCAAAGCCATTTGAACTGCAAGATCAGCGGTTCAAGTTCACCAGCTGCTCCTTGGAAACCCTCTACAGGGTTGCTATGTGTTGGAACTGACTCAATGGCACTTCACATTCACAACAACAAGGAGGGACCAAAATTTAACTTTCATTGAAAAATCACTGGCTAAGGAGCTCTGAGTTTGTTTGGTTTTTTTAAAAAATCTGTTCATTGGTCTCTCCCTGTCTGAGCACCTCCATTCTGGTGACTAGAGGGGATACCTGAGCAAAAGGACACCCCACTCCCAGCCCTCGAGGGTTCTACTGTGCATGCGCACAGATCTTGAAATTTAAAGAGACAGTTTCCACTTAAAACCAAATGGCCACAACTTATCTGTCAGTTTGTCATACTGTGGTGGCTTATGAGTTGCTGTCATTCTGAAAGCTATGCCACCGGTATTTTAAATACCAGCAGGGTCACCCATGGTGGACAGGTTTCAGATGAGCTTCCAGATGAAGACAGACTAGGAAGAAAGAGTGGCGAACTACTTCCAAATATTTAGTCACTGAAAACCTTATGAATAGCAGAGAAACATTGTCAGATATGTTGTTGTTGTTAAGTGCCGTCGAGTCGGTTCCGACCCATAGTGACCCTGTACAGAGTTTCCGAGGCTGTAAATCTTTACGGGAGCAGAATGCCTCATCTTTCTCCCGCGGAACAGCTGGTAGTTTCGAACTGCTGACCTTGTCAGATATAGTGCCCAGAAAATGAGCCCCTCAGGTTAGAAGGCAATCAAAATGCAACTGGGGAAGAGCTGCATCCTCAAATTAGAGTTGACCGTGATGATGCAAATGAAGTAAAGCCTGTGGGAGAAAAGCCTGTGAGACCTTCATTTGCTGATGGGGCACAACTCAAAGTGAAGAGAAACAGCTGTAAACATTCATTGAAAATTGGAACATGGAGTGTATGAAGTATGAATCTGGGAAAACTGGAAGTTGTCAAAAATGAATTGGAATGCATAAACATCGATATCTTAGGATTAGTGAGCTGAAATGGACTGGAATTGGCCATTTTGAATCTGACAACCACATGGTTTACTATGCCAGGAATGACAAATTGAAGAGGAATGATGTTGCATTCATCGTCAAAAGGAACATATCCAGGTCAGTCATGAGGTACAATGCTGT